AATTGGCCGCGGTGATTTCCTGCACTCGAAAGACGCGGTGGATGGTGCCGAAAGCTAGGGGAAAGAAAAGCTTGGATGCTTCACACGTTTGCATACTGTTGCGTTTGTTGCATGCGAGGATTTGCTAGAAAACCTTTGCGTGTTTCATTTCCATAAGACACAGTGACTAAAAGACTTACTCGCAAAGATAACACTCATGTTACACTAGTGTAGCAGCGCGGCACTCTGCAGGCCGTCCGTGTTGCTTGAGCAGAGACGGAGCAGAGCACTGCAACCTTGTCCCAGTTCTGCACGTGGATTGAAACCCTTCGCAGCCAAAAATGAAGGCGATTCTTTGGACGGCCTCATGTTGCTCGCACTCAAGCGGCCAACTTCTCCTGCCTGGAGTTCCCTTCGTGATTTGGAGTCCATCTGCTCTCAGGCAGCACCTAGAAGAGATCATCTCAGAATAGCAGCAACCGGATGGGGATCGGAGCACCATACCGAACAGAAGCACCCGTTCAGCTGTTGGATGTCCACTGGCCGCAAGAGCCACTGGCAAACTGTGGAGTGAGCCACGAGTATCGACAGTAACAGGCACGAGAGTTCCGGATTTTGCTCTGGGTGAAGAATGATGCTCTACCTCCCCCCTCACCGCCCGCCCGAGAGTCCAATGTCCGCAGGTATACAAGTTCTATATAAGGTTCTCAGATGTTTCCAGAACCCAAGAGCGCAACCTGCCAGGGGCCGAAACTCGCGACACGAAGGGCGAAACATGCGCGAGGGGCAAGCGAAGGCCGAAACCCGTTGTGCGCTGTGCGTTGTGCGGAAGGGATCCTGTTCCATAAACGGAGGGAGGGTGGGTGAGGGACTAAATTTCGAAGCTCAAGGCCCAAGTCGTTTACGGGGGAGGGGGTATGATCACATGCAGAACCGGGAGACTGATATGCCAAAGGAATCTTGAGTCCGGGCAACCAACCCTTCCAACATATGGGAGGTTGTATACGAGACCGTTGAGACAGAGAAGTGTGATACGATTATTACAGTAGCGTCTACGGGCTAATGCAGGGAATGTGCCACCTTCCGCGTGGATTATTGCTCGGCGCCTCAGCATGAAAACAAATGCTGACATTAAAAAACATTCGGAAGCAAATGCCAACATTCACTCGAGACCTCACCTGTGTGACCTACAGGTTGCTTTCCGAAAAGATGCACCGCGAAGCGTTTAAAATTAACGTAGGGATGATTAAGGCAGTACCAGTGAAAGAGAAAGAATCAATAACATCGTCGCATCTTGTCATCTCAGCCGCCTGCGCTGAAAAAACCTTGCCTTTGCCTTTGCCAACGGTTTCAGGAACTATGTTTCGTTGGTGCATCATCCAGAAAACTGCAACATCCCCATGCAGCATGTTTTGGGAATCTGGTTTTGGGAATGCTGGTTTGAAAAGCTAGACTGCTGAAAGGCATAAAGGCATAGAGATAGAGCTACTACAATAGCTGTTTCTGAAACAATTCTGAACATGAAATGTTACATAGTGATGTTACAATATGTGCTTGAAGAGGGCTGGGCAGAAACAATAGTCATGTCACGATCATTACTGTTAAAGGACATAGTCATGTTACACTCTGTTTTGGTGGAAGATTTACAACACTCCTGTGCCAGGCCACTTTGTGGTTTGTTAGTGGCTCTTCTGGACTCTGGACATCCAGCAGCTGCCTCTTCTGTTTTACAGGCTCGTTGAAGTGGACGATACAACGGCTCTGTGTGGTGCTGCGATCCGATCCGATCCCGTTCCGAGCCCGGCAATTCTAAGATGATCTCTCCTGGGTGCCTCGGTACACGGGAGTATTTAGTATAGTTATTCCCGATCTTGCCTCAAAAGCTTCAGCCTCCTGTCTAGCACATCCGAGACAGGCTGTCCAAGTCAAACTGCGTTTCTTCTCACAGCTTGAGCATTAGAACGACACTTGCAACAATCTAACTGTTCAAGCTCGAAGTCCAGCCTACCGCGGCCATCCCTAATGTACAGTAGCAATGGTAAGCGAAAGCTGTCCGACAGAAGTGGCCGTGGAGGTCGAGATGCGCTTCCCGGAGAAACCTGACAAAAGAGGTGCGAACTTGCGATGGCTGATATGGCTAGTGAGCGGCCTGTGGCTACACTCTACACTACCATGTGTAGGGGCTAAGGCAGCCGCTTGCACGATCCACCATCCCTGCGTCGTGCAGAATTTTGCACATCTTCTTACAGAATCTTACACAGGCTTCCAGGACAAGGTTGCACAGCAACCTCAACTGCATCGGCTTTGGTCGTCGTCTTGAAGCGCCAGTGCAGGCGGGCGTACCTTCGCACAGTGCACCCAATCTGCTGCTGGCAGGCTTTCTTGAAAATGTCTGCTTCACTGTCAAAAGCTTCACATGCACCCTCCACCAACTTAAGGAATGCAGGGCTAAGGCTCAGCTTGCCGAAATGGAGAGGGGCACTCAACGGCCAAAAGGCGTCGCGAAGAGTCGCAAGGAGGCAGCGTCTGACACCCCATCGATGCAAGGTGAACTTCTGCCCACAAGCCCACTGTAAACAGGAAAGCACGCGGACTCACGTCCGACGTAGGAAGCCGCGCACGCTTGGATGTCGCTCCGGACATGCGCAGTGAGGTTGACTTACTTGTCCCGAGCCGAAAGCACCAAGTGCGGAGTCTCCTGCGACAAATACGCCCCAGGCCTTGAAAGAGCCAGTGGCCATCCTGGGAACTTGCCACATGCGAAACCTCTCAATTCCGTACTGCATGGCATTTGAGTCCGCAGACGCAACAACATTTTTTCCAGACTGCGCAAGTCTGACACACAAGACACAATCGCTGGCACGAGGTTGTTATCGGCATGCATATTATCTTAAAGTACAACACGGCGATTGGCAGATTCAGTACAACAACACTTCGAGCAACATCGTGTGAGAAGGTCTAGCGAGACCTTGTCGAGCAGCAAGTGCAGGTTCAATAGTACATGATGCCGGCCAATCTGAAACTGCCACAGCAACAGCCGAAAGCCTGGCAACCGGTCCGCGTCATCGAATTTGATGATCGCACGAGAATTGAAAGGAAGCCAGGCCGTCACTAGCAGTGTCGAGATGGATGGCAGAGCAACTGTTGACGACAAGACCTGCAACTTCGCAGGAGTTGGCAAACACCTGACCTTGCAAGCCAGTATACCAATCATTATCCCAGCCATGCACTGCCTGAGAAGGATCTAATTCGGGCCTATGTTAACTACAGGTAGGAGAACACTCGCTCTGCACGCCACTCAGACTTGTCACAAGCCATTCCACCGTCCCACACAACTCACGTCTGCACATAGATGGAATGACTCGCAGGTACTATATACATGTTGCAGAGGCTGCGCCATAGTTGCGTTCGACACATAACAACGGCTGCCTGCTGGACTCAGTGAAACGAGTCAGGAACCCGGGATAAGGTGCCACAGCACTCCGCTGTCAGAACTCCTTTTTTTGGGTGCCTCGCAGTGTCACTCAGGACGAACCCGACAGCAACCTCTCCGCAGGCTCGGCCGACACTCAATCACTAAAACAACAATTCAATTGAACAAAGCATTCATGTCAAATTCCGGTAATAGCCCTAACAGCAGGACAAGTCCGTGAGCACCAACGACCTGCACAATCCCAGCAATGGCTGATGTTGGCTGATTACCAACTAGCTGAGTGATACTATTGCACGATACTTCGCTGCCGTCTGCATGATATGCCGGGAGAACGTCCTTTCTTTGGGATTTGCCAGAATGGAACTAAGAATTGCTGAATACGTCTTTAAACTTTCCAGTACGAAACATGCATGAACGCCCGACCCAGCTTCTTCGCGCAAACTGTCAAACACCAGAAATGCCTGAGCCCGGCCCAACCGCATGTTTCAGACCCTGACAAAAATCCTTTGGGCTTGGTGGGAGGAAGATTGGCAAGGTGGACACACCAATCAAGATCGAAGCATTTTCGGTTTCTGCGGGTTGGGACAGGAGTGCCTACGCTAGACCCTGGTGAATTTTTCAGGGCCTGGAACATGCCAATGCATATCGGGCTGCGGACTGGAGGAGACAGCGCACACCAGGCTCAGGAGCATTTGCAGGCACCGGCACAAGTGTTGATTTGGAAGAGCCAGTTGGGGATGAAACGCTAGATTTGTCCAACAATGTTGCTTCAGGGCATGGGCTTGGAACAAGCTCCGAAAACGCTCGAGCATCTTCGAGCGGGATGGCATGGGACAACGGAAATGCTTTAACTTAACCAACGCATTTTTCGGGCTCGCGCTTCGCGAAGTACGTGCCCATGAGCTGGGCAGTGCAGAAACTACTTCGAAGGATTTTGAGGTGACACCAAGACAGACGCAAGAAGTGCCTGAACCAGACCCGGGTGCTCAAGCCAGACCAAACACAGTACTTTCTGGGCCAGGCTTTTTTCTGTGCGATCTGAAAACGCAAAAATTTCGGCCCAGCAACAAACACCTGTGGCCTCAACCATTGGCCATAGCATGACCAACAATACATGCAAGCAGGAACACAACAGGGAACGCAGGGTCGAAATTCGTGTAATAAGCTCAGGTGTAGCGAAGTGACGGTGTAACTGATGTAACTTTGGAGCACAAAAGGGATAGAAGCTGAGTAGAGAAAAGTGCTTGTTTTGTGGAGCCGTAAAGTAGATTAGAAAATAGCTTTTTTGCTGGAGCCGTACAAGTATACAGTTTTCAGGGCATCGCAGAGCCCACCTGTTTCTGAACCACAAGCGTGGTCTGTCAGGCCAGCGCCCTGTTTTGAGCTTGACAAGGCCTGCCTGTGAAGTCCACCTTACCCACTGTAAATGGTTCCCAGGTGGAAGCGACTTCTTTGCCAACAAGCAAATTACCTTCAAAGCGCACCGAGCAGCAACAAAACGAACCACACGGGTTAAAACCGAAAGGCGCATGGCGCATGTCGACCATCCCCAAACGGCGGGGAACGGGGAAGCCCTTGAGGCCGAGGCTGCTTTGGCCTTCGATGTCAAAGGGAGGAAGGGACGAGCCTGAGTCAAAGCTCAGTCCGACAAGCAGCTCTCCACCAGTCCGTCAGGACAATGAGGGCTCACGTGGCCCCTGCGCTTTGCAGCACGTGTAAACATCCAGCTGCACCGGAGACTAGCATGTTCTGGGGGCGCCACTGGCTGCGGTTTCCTCTCATCCATGGTGAACGTCACCTTCATCGCTGCTGAAACGAGATGCTGCACTGAATGTCTTCGATCGTGGCCAAGTATGCGCTGAAGATCAGTAGCAAGCATGCTCAGCATGAGTTCAGCATGCATCCCACGGTAGCGCACGACATGCATCAATGCAAACCAAACTGCAAATCTCGCACTTGTGGATGGAGATCGCGTCCCGGGCTTGTGCAATATGCTGCTGTAATGACTCGTCCTTGCATCTGCACGTTGCAACTTGCAGTACTGGGTAAGTGCGCGAGAATGCACAACAGCGGAGCTTTGCGTGCCATGCATCGAGGATGGCGATGGACATGTAGGATGTTCAACATCAGGCTGCCTTTGCTGCAGCACGACGTTGTTCATTCCGTCTAAGAGAAAGGCACAATCTTATGAGTCTATGCACGGTGATTCTAAGAAGCCCGTGCCAGGCATTGTGTCTCCGAGGCACATGTAAGTCTCTGGAGTCTGCAGAGTGGCGCATGCTGCAGTATCCTTTTCCAAAACATCAGAGATGATTCTGAATGAGATTGCTGCCCTGTTTACGCGAGCAGCCACACCACTGGCACCGCTCCTCTTCCTGCCGGCCTGGAGAATGGATGAAGTAGCATCCAACAAGTGAAGTACAAGCAAACGACATGCGGGAAGTAAGATCAGTGCTCAAACATCTCAAATCCGCGTATGGCACTGCGACATACTACGACCAGGGAAGCCTTGCGCGTCGGCATCCTTTGGCTGCCAAAATCTTGGCCTCACTGAAACTCTATAGGCTACCAGCATCGTGAGTGTATGGCAGGAAAAATTGCCTCGTGGTTTGCCGGTTGCAGCCATTGCAATCCTCCATGTTGGCATCGGAGGGCAGAGATGGTAGTTCCGGCGGCCTCAGGGTTCAATTCTGTCACGCCTTGATCGCGGAGATTCGATTGTATTCAACACGAGACAAAGCCAACCTTGCCCATGGAACAGTGGAGCAAAGGTCCAGGTCATCGAAGGCCCTCCGTTGACTTAGGGTGCGAAACGAAGACTGGCACATGCACGCCGATTTTGGCCTGAAAGACTCTCCCATGAGATCAGGATCGCAGAGCCTTTCTTGAGACATGAAGGCTATGGCGAGAGTTTCAGAGGTGTCGCTCGTGCTGTCTAGGTCTGCTGCCCTGCACGTTCCGGTGGCCGACCAAAGTTAGGTCTGGTCAGCATGAAACTGGCCTCCAGGCGAAAACAACATGCTTTGTGTGGCCGTGTGGAGACCCTGACAACAATGCATTTCTCTTCGCATTGCAGCACCTGGTGCAGCTGTTGCACACACTCTTGGCCGCACCAGCGACCACAGAAGAGAGCCTGGCTGCACTCTTTTGCAAGTGCCTTAGAACACGCGTGCGCGTATGTCCTTTCAGCTCCTTATTGGGACATCAAGTCAATCGTGCAAAAGCCTGTGGAGGCTGCGAGGATGCCCGCTTCACGTCACACCTTGTCGGAAAGAAAGCTTTCTGCTGTCACTCCGGGACGTGAAGTCTTATCAGCAAACATATTAGCCGTTCCCTCCACATCTGAAGGGTCGGCACACCCTTCTTAGCTGCACTGCTAAATCTTCTAAAAAGGGTCTGTGCCAGGGTTGCTTTAAGAAGAAGAGGGTCGCACCGACCCCTTCCGCACTGCAGTGACAAGACTTAGAGGGCACGTTTTGAAAAGGGTCTGGTGCCAACCATGCGCGTCCAACAGCTGGCGCCACCCTTTTTAGCGAAGCAGTGCATGCTAGATTGCTTGTTAGCTTGCTGGCTGCTGGGGGTATGGAGGGTGAACTCCACCGCCCCGGTGGGTCGACCCAATCAGCGGACTGACAGCATGCATATGCGGGAACATGGTGTTTGGCTGCCACACACACACACACGCGTGCGCGCCTACACACCCAAAACCTGTGAAAATTGAAAAGGGCCTGAGCTGACCTGTGTATTATCCCAGCCCGAGCCCGCCCTCAGAAGGCATGCGACAGCTGAAAAGGGCCTGCTCCGACCCCTATGATGCGAACTCCCGGACTAGCAGACCTTTTCTATTCTGTGGTCGGCCCCTCCCCTTTTTACAGATGTCGAAGCAACAGCTATCACACGCGAGTCGACGAGAGGTGGAGTGCATGGTGAAAAATCCCTCGACTCAGCCCCCCACATGCCGGATCCTCCAGGTTGCCTGACACGCTCGGAGGGTACGATGAGTCGAAGACACGGGGTTCCCATTCGTGCACGACTCCTGTCTTCTGCCCTAAATGCATGCTCTGGTCCGTCGCAAGACTCAGAACTCCCGGAAATATCACTAGATCTGCCATGGCAGTATAGGAAATCCGCTCGTCCTATATGTATGTGTGCGTAACGTTTGTGACATACACACATGTATGTACAATATACTAAATACTAAATCTAAAAGCTTAGGATTTCCCCATCCACCCTGGGACCATGTTGTGACCTCGGAATGGTTGTGGAGTCAGTCATTCCTGACTCCATGGGGTCATAGTGGTTATCGTAACTCATATAGCGACTCACTAATTCATCTACTTATTCGTTCATGCAGTTGTATTCACCTGCACACCATGACATCAAACACACTCCGCAGTCCTCACCCCTCAGCCCGGCCCAGCCCAACCTCTCACTTAGGTGGTTTTGGAAGGGGGTTTCTATGGGCTTCTCATACCCGCCCTCGGGCTCAACCACGAACACCATGCATCCGAAACCCCAAAACCCGAAACCTCCAAGCCAACACCGGAGGTCCCTCTTGCCCCCGCGCTGGCAGCGCCAAGATGCAGACACACGTGCGTGCAAAGCACGCATGTATGTGTCTAGCATGTATTTGATGTGTTTGTGTATGTATGTATGTATGTATGTACAAATGTAATGTAATGCAAGGTAATGCAATGTAATGTAGTGAAATGTATGTATATATATATGTACGTATGTAGATACATACATGCAATCTCTTGATTATTTGATGCATTTTGATTGTATTCCTTCATTCACATACGGAAGAAGGCAATGGACAATGGGTGTGGGCCATCATCATCTGTCTACATACATACCGACACACGTATACATGTACACATAGATGTACATACACGTACACGTACACATGCACTCTTGCATATACACATATACACACAGGCTATATAGATATACACATGCATGTACATACATGTGCATGTAGATGTACATACACATGCACATACATACATATTGTGCATGCATGTGTGTATATATAGACATATTCCACACCTTAAAGATCTACCATTTGTATGGTTTCTGCACATGGTTGATTGGTTCGAATCCCGTTTACTAACGCAATCATACGAACCTGAACACGGAAAACTAGTGCTGAGAATTGCCTATCTCCCTCTCAATAGAAAGATACAGGCCTGAGGGCCAGGAGATAATATTGATGCCAAATAGTGCCTATGCCTTCGCTACTAACACAACAAGACCTACTTGGAAGCGGCATACTAGCCAGTGCGAAGTATTGCCGTGCCAACCCCCCCCCCGCCACTAATACAAGAAGACCTATCTGAAACTAATACTAAGTCTGATAAGTATTGCCTCTCCTCCCTCTACTAACACAAGAAGACGCATGGGCCCGAAACCCGAACAATAGCAACACGTATTGCCCCTGCTCCCTCTACTAAAGCAATAAGACCTGCTCGGAACCGAGATACTACTTCTAAATGTTGCCTCTGCTCCCGCTTGCGAACACAAGAAAGCCCAACGACTTGGAACCGGAATACTCACTAAGTATTGCTCAAACCTGCGTACCAAGCATTGCCTATGATCGCTTTGCCCTACATGAAAGCAGTACACTAGTGGTAAGCATTGCCTAGGATCATTTGCTTACAAAATACAAAGACCCCACCCAACAGCAAGAACAATACAATGTGGTACTGCAGTCTCCATTATTTACTAAATTGCACGACCCGCTATCTTTCCGCTATCTTTCCGCTATCTTTCACGCCCACGAACTCGCATGAACAAAATCTAGATAATCAGTGTCGCCTCTGTCTTGTTTGTTCTTAGCCAAGCAACTGCTTCCGCGTGCACGGCCAAAATCAAACACTGCTTGCAGTCGTGCTAGGTCGTGTAAAGGAACTCACTTCGAGCATTCTACCGCAGGTAAGTATTGCCCACATCCTCACTGTTCAACAGGAGGTTCTGAAGTTGTCAAGGCAAGATACAACGATCAAGCATTATATGTGAAACCTCTCCTTTCACAATAGCAAAATACGACTGCTGAGTCTTGCATGCAAGCTTTCCACATTAACACGGCCACATCGTAGCGAGAATCTGCCATAAAGTCCTTTCTGGTAAGCTTTTGTCGGGCCTGCTAAATTCCGCAGGCACGCCTACTAAATATGTTGCAAACATGATATAAACCCAACCAAGTGCCCGAACAGTTATGCTTTCTGTATATATATATGCCCACGTGCGTATGATACGTCTTGATATCCACCAACATCCAATGCAAGTTATACCTTCGCAGAAGTACTGCAACGGCTACTTTCAACCTCAACCATCATCCCGAATCAGTGTAATGCATCTTGTCATAGCTGATCGAATTCTGAAGACAAGCCAATACAATCTCTGGCATGACCAAATCTAAAAAGACAAAAGAACTGTCGGGTTCAGGCGCTTGACATATGTCAAGTCCCCACCCGGACTCATTCTTTTGCCTTAAACAGTGTTCACTATGTCCATAAACACCTCTTCTTGCGCCGCATGCAAGTGCTTGCAATCTAGGCTGTTCTTCCCATGATCCTCGCCATAAACCACATTCATTTTAGTTTCATATAAGCAAAGTTTTCCAAACAGGCCAGACCTCTTGTGCTCTGGGCCGCTCTATTCGCGTATGCAGCTCCTATCGGTGTCCCACTGATCATGAACTCATATATGAATGCTACGCCTAGTAGTTCTTGAAAATATATTCCAGCAGGTCGGGATCCATTCAGGCGCTGTCGCTGTACATACAAGCATGCATACATACGCACACGCACAGAGAGAGAGAGAGAGAGAGAGATATATATATATATCCATATCCGCCGACCCCCGCTGGGGCGGCGTCAGTGAAATCCAGAGAGGTTTTTGCTTGTTTTGTTACCGCCTCCACTACCCCTAGCCCCGGCTACACCGCCCTCACTAGCACCCACATGCATGCCCACGCTGCATTTTCTAGGTGTTTAGAGAGTATTTAGAGGCTTCCATGCAATGCCTGCCCACACCCCCCCGCCCTTCCCGCCCCCACCAGCACGCACATCTGGCCGCACCCTGCCCACCAACGCCCACACGGCCTTCACGAGCACCCACATCTCACACCCCCCCCCCACCCTCACCGCCCCCACCACCCTCACCAGCACCCACATCTGGCTGCACCCCGCCCGCCCCCACTGCCTATACAAGTGTGGCTTGTCGAGCGAAGGTTCTTTTTGAGGGCCGTTTAGAGTGTTGACCCTAAGTGGCATCTGCTCTGCCATCCTGCTGTATTTGTGTGAGAACCAACAACGACTTCTGTCTCCGTGGCGTGAGATCATGACAACGTGTGCCTCCAGCAACGACTTCTCTCCATGGTATGAGATCAGGACAGCATGTACCTCCAGAAACGGCTTCTATCTCTCAAAGGTTGCGAGATCATGACAGTGTGTACCTCTAGCAACGACTATGCGTTAAATGAACTGAACTTGCCACACTTTAACTTGTCACACTGCAAGCCCATAATTTAGGTTGTGTGAACCTCAACCAGCGTAATCTTTCAATGCGGAAAACCAAACAGCCACAGTGCCGCTCTTGGGGGGTCGGCGGCCCTGGCGGCAGCCACTAAATATGCTTACATATGTATATACACATATCGTACAGATAGATAGATAGATAGATAGATAGATAGATAGATGGATGGATGTATGGATAGATAGAGATAGAGACAGAGATAGATGGACAGATGGATAAACAGCTAGATAGATGATAGATAGATAGATAGATAGATAGATAGATACGCAGCACAGTATGACATGCGCATAATCATTGCATGCATCTCCACGGTGGGCCACCCGTGTTGTCACTAGAGCACGAGAGTCACCAGAGTAGGCTTTGTTTGATCTGGAACGGTCGGTGTGCGGGTGGGGGGTGGGCAGGTCCATGTTGTTCTGTATTCTTCTTCTATGCCCGGTGTAGTTGTTTTGCATTTTGTAGTTGTGCGTGCCGGACAGAGCAGCAGAGCCAGGAACCAAGCCTGCCGGCCATCCTAGAGGAAACCATGCAAGGATCAATCCAAACACTGCACATGCATCGAACACCTACAGGTTCGTGAATTGCACAAACAGCTTTCACAGCTGGGCAGATGCAGATGATAGGGGATAACAGACCCGCAGACAAAGGTCCGGCTGTGCATGCATGCATGTTATGTACACTGATATACACACACCATGCGTGCGTACATACGGTTGCATGCATAGCCACATGGTCGCCAAATGTCCTCGGGTAGAAGTAGAAGCAGCATCGAATGTAGCGATGATAGGTTGGGCTGTCTGGAGTCCGAAGACTCAAAAACAGGCCTTCGTGCGCCGAGCTTCAGCTCGTCACCACACCTCAGTCTTCCAAGTCTAAAGCTCGTGCAAGCAGAGTTTGGAGGCGCATCTCGAACTGTCTGAGGGTCATCTCTCCGCGGCTCTAGGAGCCGGGCGTGGCGTGTGGCATTCTACGTTGAGGCTGTGAGCTCAGCATAGCCTTCTGGCAAAGGCTTCTGCGATAGGTTGTGCCAGGCGTCCGACGTCGACTGTCACACAACCGGCCTGAAGACTCCCACAATGAAGGCCGCAGGTGTGGTGGCAGAAAGCGGTCTGGTCAGGGACGCGACAAGACGCGACTGGCACGGCTCAAAAAGGCATCCAAAGTCCGTTCGAATGCCTCGACAGGCGAAGGATTTGGAGGCTCAGGCCTCAAACGCCATCCTGACCCCAGGACCTCGCGCCCTGGTTGAAACAATAAGGCTGGGGCGGTCCATTGCACAGCAGTTTGTCTGGCGGCATGCTGCTCGGCACTGTTGGCCTCGAGCGGGACATTCTGCAAAGCGCAAGCTGAAAGGTTGTCAGCACGGACGTGCTAGCGGCTCCCACAAGGCGCAGAACCAAAGAGGGAACATCGCTGCGAAGGGGTGGCCCATAGGATAATTTGCATACCGCCAGGGCTTAATTATGACGGCCTTCCCTGGCAATGCTGCATGATCGACTCTTGCCTGTTCCCTGCCTGGCTTCGGTTCGGCCACAAACCTATCCATGTTGTTTTACCACGGCATCAGAATTTCGTCTTGACCCCATTGGCTGGCAACTTGTCTTTGTCACTGCCAGCAAAAGTTGAATTTCTGGTTGACCTCTCTGGGTGCAGAACAGCGCATGCGCGTCGGAGAATAAAAGCCTTTGAGGTGGTGAAGCATGGCTAATCTGCACCAGCTCCATGCCAGTACGGACTTCATGTGAAGTTACTACGGTTCCACTTCCCGGATTGCACGAAGCATTTTCTTTAAGCAGGAGCGTCGAAATTGAAAAGCTGTTCAATGGAGATGCGTCCACAAATTTCTGCTCCCTTACCATTAAATGGCCACGTCGCACATGCTAGCATTTCTAGACTCATCTGCCTGTATGGCTTCAACAGCTTGCTTCGCAGGCATCCGTCCGAACCTAGATCTGCGCGTTTGCGGCCCTTTTCAGAGGTGCCTGATGTTGCCCTCTGTCTTGTTGGTGCTTGATGTGCTTGGGGTGCTGCTCAAACCCTTGAAATCTATTGAACCGGGTGCCCTCCCCCAATGGAAACTTGGAAAATGTGCTTATTGGGGTGAGTCGTTTTTTATCTCTACTGTCACTATTGGGGGATCTTGCTGTTGCTCCTACTCTTGCTCCTGAGCCTCCCTCAAGGGGGGTTTTCCGAAAAGTCTGCTTCTGACTAGGGGACAGAGGAAGGGTTATCCCGCTTACGGACCTCCGGATCTTCACTATACGGAAGACGCTGTAAGTGCAGTGCTCTTCCAGCGGCCCGAGTTCCTGCGCCACATCCGCAGGGTGTGAACAAGTGGCTAGATCATCGCTTGCCTGTGCTGCCAGCAGTCGAGGTAAGTGGCTTTGGTCAGGCCACATCAGCTGCCAAAGACCCTGCAGAGACATGCAATCAGCGCCACTTCAACTGGAATCCACGGAAATCGGGCATCTGACAATGGATTTCAGTGCAGCTGAATGGCCTGCATAATCCAATGAGTCCTCGGTTCCAACATGTTGTGCTCCAACAAGGTGGCAGAATTGCAAACAAATTAAGGCTGGAGCATGACAGTTGGCTCAGGAGGCCAAACTTGCCTGCGTCGGAAGAGCATGGAACGTGAACAGCGACCGCATGGGCTCATCACGATCCCATAACCCACCCCAGCGACCACTCTTTTGCACCGAAAGAGGTGGCAAAGCACAAAAAGCCGTGAGAATGGAGGGGCACGTCACTTTGCATTTGCAAGTAGCAGGATTATCATGATTATCAGCAAACCCTCTGGTTCAGTGTCCCTGCGTTGCGACTCAAACAGCGACGATGGCTGCTTTGCCAATTGCGCGGAAGTTTCGCTGCCTTCGCTTTCGTCCTTCCCAACCAGTCCGAGCCAGGATCCACGCAGTGAAGACGGAGGCAGCAAAAGCCCAGCTTTATCAGCCATGCTCAGCCAACTCTGGTTTCTGTCTGCAAATCCGGCACACATGTTTACGATTTGCAAACCAGACCGCAGAACAAACGCGAAGTCATGCTCAGGGATCTGTGAACCGATCGATTTGGGAGGTGGGGGTTCAGCATGGGCCCGCTGGATGCTACTTTTCTATGAAGCCTCAACACACTGGCACTGCCTCTGCTCTCCGATCGCAGTGTTGTTCTTCAGCTTCGGTGCCTCCGCGCCGTGTCAGCCGCGAAGTTCAACGCACGAAAATTGAGAGTCTTGCAGTACATCAATGTCCCACAGGTGGCCCTCATTTAGGCGGCTCTCAAACAACGACGCGACGCCACTGAGTCGTGGATACCCTCTCTAGACACATCCTTAACCATACGAGTACATCCACAGTGCTTCATGTGCTTCTCAGCTGCTACGAGTAATCCCTGCCTGCACCATGGCATGAGCAGGGACCAGGCCATTGCTGTTCGCCAGGCCATACCCAGATCTCTGGAAATCGTGGAGGGGATCTTGTGTTTGTGGCGCTCGATCAAACTTTTCAGAGTTGATAGAGTTGTAAGACATGCAAACCAATGGAGGAACAGGAGGCAGCGACTTTCCAAGAAGCATTGAAATAACAATGCGGGTGTTCGATCATTGACTGGAGCGGTGAAGGCTGAACGAGGATGCGGGGTGCTGGTGCATAGGCTTGACTATTTTGAGCGCACAGTTGCTCAATTTCCAATTCCATCCGAGATCCACGCTGACGTCCTGCCTCGAACGGTCAGGTCTGTCTTGGAGGTCTGTCTGTCGGCCCAATTTTGTGCAGCTTACGTTACATTATGATATTACATGCTCCATCGCCCTGCACGTCTTCCAAACGCGCGGCAGCCGCCATCGAAAATAAAAGATGCAGCCCAGAAGCCGGAGCATTGCCGCGAGAAGTTCCTCTGCACATGAAGAGCAAGACAAGCAGCCTTCTGCGCATTGAGGACACTTGCCTTTGCCAGCTCCGTCGAGAATGGTTTCCGTGAACACGTCCTAGTGTCATTGGATGTGTTTCCGCCGTACAGGCTCCCTGTTCAAACATGAGTATCGTCGTAGTCTGTGCAGACACCCGACTGGCCATCACCTCGAGCATCTCAATGTATTTACGATGATGAGAAGCCAACTGGAAGAGGTCAGCCTCGCGGGTTCACAAACGAGACAGCAGCCACCAAGCTGGTGTTGGTCTGAGCGGACGGCGGTGTACTTGACCGCCTCACCTGGCAGGTCTTCGGTTCACCCCATCTCTGCCGGAAGCCGAAAGTTAAGTGCCTGGAGTCTCTGCTTCAACAGGCTGCCGCTGGCAAGAAGGCAAGCAACCTCACTTCCAAAGCTCTGCCAGAATTTTGTCAAGCTTCGCATAGCTTCGCAGTCTGGAGATCCTACGACACGGACACGGCGGGATCCCCGGCGCAAGGCTGAGGTAGATGGCAGGTGACCGCTCCAGGCACCACAAAGGCGCTCCTCTCTTATTGAAGTCGCAACAGCGACGACAGGGCAGACATGCACTGTTCACACGATTTCATAGGTCGCGTCTCAACCAAGAGTCGGCGAGTAATGGTGAGTAGCTAAACCTGCAATTGTGAGGGGGTGCTGTGAAACCGGCAGATAGCAATCTGTCCCTGCCTTCTGCCATCTTCTGCCTTTACCTTCGATTGGGGATGAGCTCGGCATTCGTGACAGTCGTGATTCTTCTTTATTTTTCGCTGGGCCAAAGTTGCAAGTGCGGACTCATGCCCATTGTCCGAAGCAGCCTTTAAAGATCTTTAAAGGCCAGTGGATGTGGATGCCTTTCCGCAGAGGGCAGTGCACCGGCAACGTCTGCGGCCAGTGATCCGAATATTCATTGGAGCCACTCGGCCATGTCACGCCCCGAACCCCTTGTTAACTTATGTCGCGGAGGTCTCGGAGCCCGGAAGCAAAAGATCCTAGGAAGAGCTTAGGAGTACGGTGCACAGGGAGGTCCCACCACAGAAGATATGCCGTCGCAAGGACAGCTCCTTAGCCTTCCAGATGAAGATGCGACGATTTGCTAGGCTATTGCAAGCATTTACTAAAGACATACATTTACCTTTGGAAGCGACCGAGAGAAGCCGTCAGTGACTTCGCCTCCACAGAACCTAGGAAAGAGCGAAGCGATGCTTTCGAAAGCCGTCAGATCATCAAAAACAATGCACAAGACTCTTGAGCATGGAAGGGCGCCATTCAAGGGGTCACACTGCGGACACGCTGGATCGTCCCTGGTGTGGCTTGGTTGCCCCGCAGTGTTCTGCCATCCCAGAGGCCTTGGGTCTGCTGCGGCGGTGCTGTGCCTTGAGGCTGACCACAGCAGACCAGCGCCCAGCCAACCCAACAGCAAAGACACCAATGCAGCCAACTACCGCCCCGATTGGCCACCACCTGACCCCATGGACTTCACCTCCACTGCTGGCCACCACCCCCAACACGCTCGAGACCCTCAACCACCACAGCCACAACCACAGCAGTCCCAACAACAGGGCACCAAGTCGGCCAACTACAACCGTCACTGGCAGCCGCCTGATCCCGCGGATCTCGCAGATCCAACCCCACCTGGCCACCAAACCCCCTAACACACCCAGAAACGGCTCGCTCGCGTCGAGAGTGGCCCTCAGACACCACCCAAACCCAGTACCACCGCCACTCCCACACACCGATGCCACAGCAGTCACACACCGAATCCTATGTTCCGGCAAATGGCTCAGCAGAGTCGAATACCTGGACGACCCGCCAAGGCAACCCCGTGACTATGTGGAGCCAGTACTGTTGAGCCGCCGGTTTTGCGTATTGGTGGTAAACTGGAGGCTGTGTCTGCAGTGCAGGGCCTCCCCTTCCATAGTGGTATGGCTGCTGCCGTGGTTGGCTCTGTGGTGGGGTGCTGTGCTGGAGAGTCGACGCCCTTGCTGATGCGTCGCTGTCTGCGGCAAGCCACCTGCCGCTGTCGACTGCTCGTCCGAGTAGGTGCCGTAGGGCTTGGTGCTGTACGTGTTGCAGTACCTGTGCGAGAAGGAGAACGACCCCCCGTCTCATCATGGTGACAGCGACCGAGAGGTTTGGGCGCGAAGCGGGCTTGCTGGAGCTCTGGCTGCGGCTGCACACGTGCTCCCCGCTGGAGATGCTCTTGCGTGGCATGGGCATGCTCTGCTGCAGTGACAAGCAACCACGAACGCAAATCTGCAAACTGACAGGACTGCATTCGCTGCTCTCACTCCCTCTGGCTGTGCTGGCTGTGGCGGGAGCGTGTCAGCGGCTCAGGCATGGCCGTCACCATGCTGTGATTTCTCCCCTTTTCTCCTCCCTCCAGCGTGCAACGACGGCTGTTCGGGGTGAGGTTGTCTCGTATAGCTGGTTTGCTTGCCCGTGGCCCACGGCATGTCGAACCCGCGAACCAAGAGCTCTGTCAGTTGGTGCCAGCGGCCACGCTCTTGCGCGGTTGGCCATCCAGTTCGTGACCGAGTGAAAGACATGCGTGACCCGTTTTTCAAGGGGTCTTTGTTGTTCTTCTCGCCAGAAGGCCAAGTTCTTCCAAGCCACCATAGCATTGACCTCCTCTCCCCCCTAGCCACGTGCCCCCACAAGCTCCAAATTCGAGTATGTATACAAGTGGACCAGCACTCGATCCCCTCCCTATGCATGTGCATGCGCGCGTGCCTGAGCGTGCTTGTGCGGTGAAGGTGGAGCATGTCTCGGTAGTGCTGGGTCTGCAGAGAGCTTGCCGCCTTGAGTATCCTGTGGTGGACCGGCCAAGTCTCGCACGCATAAAGCCCGGCGTTCCGGACCAGTGCGATGTGTGCTGTACGGCTCTGCGCATGCTGGGGCTCGCTGTAGAGGATGGCCGTTTTGGTGGGGTGGAAGTGGAGTCCATCTTCTGCTGGCTCGTGCTCTCGAGGTTTGTCAGCACCTGCTGGAGGTGGACCCGTAACTCTGGCACCCCCAGCCCTGTAGTAACACTGATACTTATGTAATCCCCCGGCCTCGTCTCAGTCGATCTCTCTCTCTCACTCACTCCCTCCCTCTGTTTCAAGGAGGGCAAAACGAAGCACCCCTTTGCGCTCATGCAAACCTCACTTCGAATACTGTTCTGCAGGCATTTTGCCGGGGAGTGTCGAACCAGAACCATACCCACGTGAACAGACTCTGTGTTTCCGTGGGCAAGAGTGCAGGACTAATTTGAACTTCCCACCCCGTATGCAAGCTTGTAGATACGGCCGCATCCTCCACTCTTTGACCGCACGGGCACGCTTGCTTGATCTTCCACTTGCAGGGAGTATCCTGCCAGCCCCGATTCAAAATGAACATCACGCCCTGGCAGAACAGTGGCTGTATCGCAAAGAGAGGCGATCTTACGTCCTCGCACGGCGAACCTGGATGGCAGTCTGCCTGCAGTCACAAGATGCAGTGTCTAGTGCCAAACTTGCTGCAGTAATCTGCCGCACACATGTACTCGTTCCGCCTGACAAGTGTGGCTGCAATGAACTCTCCTGCTTGCGTCTGAGTAGCAGTGCAGAATATTAGGTTCTACTCTGGTCACCAAATTCCGATCTGTACATGTGAATCAGAAGCAATGCCAAGCAGGGCCATGCATAGATTGCTCGTCCTTGCTCCGCATGGCCTCGAACAGGGCTTGCACTCACCTGCCCAGCTCGGCGAACATCCCTAGGCCCTAAGCCCTACAAGCAGCTCATGGCCACGTACTCTCTTAGTACAGCCAAAAGGGTCAATTGCCGCAGCACCCGCGATGCATTGGTTTTTGATTGTCGGTCTTCCCAAGCTTTGCTTCTGAGGTTTTCTCAAGCTGCTCTGCTTTTGTGTGTGGGCTTCCCGTGCAAATCAAACTCTCGTCGTTTCATGTTCAACAACGAACCAGTGATTTCAATCTCCGCGGCGTTCCCTATGCCCGCGAACTCTGGACCCACAACCTGCTTCCTGAGGCTGGTCTCTTCCGAACTGCTGGCTACGGCTACCCTTCGAGAGCTAGAAAATGCAGAAGCCAGCCACTGGGAACGCTTTTGCAGTGATCCGGAAGCAGGCAGGCAGAGATTGAGACGCTCAATTCAAAAGACCCTGTTTAGTCACAACTATGCAGACAGGCTCTAGAGATGGAGATGATTGTTGGCTCGAACACAAGCCTGTGCAGGCAAGGCTTCACCGTGTCGGTGAGATGTGCGGGTGAAAATACTCGCTTACACATGGCGAAGGGAGTTTTGCAAAGGCCGATCTGGGGCCGGGGCTTAGAACACAGAAGCAGAAGCAAAACGTGCGAGCTGACATTCCCAGTTTTGGGGAGGTTCCAAGTCCATATCGATCCGAGACAGTTCGTCCGAAAATGGCAGTGCTTCCACATCTTACTACCTACATGTCTAAGACACGTTGGGAGGGAACAGAATGGCACAGCACCTGCATGGCATTGCCACGGACAGCTGTGCCCACAGGAGAGCAGCCGACCTTGGGCAGCGCAGGCTGAGAGCATGCTGAAAACTCCAACGTTTCTGAGGCCGATACCGCACGGCTGACCACAGGAGATAGGACCCACATGGCAGGGCCTTGACGTTGCGCTCGAAACGGCGGTCTCTCACCCTCTTGTCCGAGCCCCGCTCGTGTTGCGCATTTGCATGTGACCACCTGGCACAGCTATGCACAGCTCATTTCGCCGCTCGAGGTTTTGAACTTCTGAAATCATGGAGGTGATGCCCAAACAAGTTCTCGACACGGGCTCGTAACACAGTGGGTGTGGCCCTGTCCGAGTTTCATGTGCTTGCAAGCAGTAGATGCTGGAAAGGCACCTTCATGGCACTTTGCTGGACAAACGTGACCACACTCCATCCTGAGACGGAGTCAAGCGCGTCACAAGACAAAATCGTTGCTTCCTGAAGCTCAAGTCAAGGCCCTTGCAGCTGTCCGCAGGGCTCATCGCACTCTGGTGGTTTTGTACCACAGAACTCAGTTTGGAGCAAGTTGCAGGGGCATGCCCGGTGCACATTCCAGAGCCGGTGCTCGGCTGAGACGGGGACCACAGGCGGTTCAACAAAGCTTTTTCCACAGGCGCAATACAGAGGCTCATGCAACACCACGCGGCACCTGGCTACAGTTGAAGCACTGTATACCATCTTGAAGGGGCCGGAAATGTGCAGCGGCCAGGCTCCACTTAAGGCACGCACGGAGGGCAATTCCCCAAGTGGCAAAACTCCTCTCCGTGCCACAGATCATCCACAGAATCTGTGACTGTTGCTGATCCTATGTCAGAGCCTATGTGCTTTGAAGCTACCGCGCCTCACATGTGTGGTTGCCACAGGATAGCGGACGTCCACAGACTTGCAGGCACATATGTGCCTGGGGACAGACAGATGAACATGAAGATTAACACCTTTCCTCGGCAAGCTTCAAGTGAGCGAGTTCGATTTCGTGACCCGCCTCGTGGTTGCGATTGTTGAAGCCTTCACAGCACACCACGTCGCATTTGTGGTTCCTCACCGTCAAACTGCCAAAACTGCGACGACATGGTGTCAATTGACGGCAGCGGGCTTGCAAGGATCCACTGCGCACCTTTTCGGCGATTCTGGCTCAGATAGCTCAATGCTCTATCTCCATTTGTCCAGCGCACTGTGGCTGTGGAGTTTTGGGCCAACGCTATCTGCACATGGAAGCCCGCTTGCCAAGACTCAAAAGTTGTCCTTTTGCTTCCGGAGCTTCGCAAAAACCTGCGTCTCGACTAGTTTCAAGGCTCCATGATGTCAACTAGTGCAATGTCTTCGGCTCTGGAATGACACGTGCAATTATGTGCGAACAGTTTAGCGCCTCTGAGCTTTACCTGAAGGCATCTGCAGCAGGTATTTTACTAAGGGGTGGGTTCAAGCAGCTCGAGTCTTGGCAGACTGGATGGTAAGCTGGCGAAAGTCCACTCTTCTGGCGAATGCCAAGCGATCCCGGCCTCTACCGGGCTGCAACCAGGACAGATGCTCCTGCACTCTCTTGCAGGGCGATGTCTTCCTAGTAGACCGGCTGGCTGCAAATTACCAACATTGCTTCCGAGTGGTTGGTGCGGGTACAAAAAACTGCAAAGACAGCTTTACGTGCCGCCGAAGTCATGCACAACTACCTGTTATTTCTTACATTCGAGTTACAAGTAACAAAGCTTATATTGCCAGGAGTCGTATCTCAACATATCCTGCCAAACCCAGCCTCCTATACCGAACCCATTTCTCTGATCATTGCATTCAAGGGCGGCGGCCAAACCGTGTCGCACGTCGCTTGTTTACAAAATGCAACCAGGGCCAGGAAATATCAATGCGCAAAGTCCAGAAGGAGGATATTGCAAAGGGACCCCATCATTTGTGATCTACAGCTTGCGGCTTGGGGCGGAAGTTTCGGAGAGGGAGGTGGTCGTTTTGCACGGCTTCTCCCCGTCCTCATGGAGTCATCCGCTGACCGCAGGAATGGATTGATCAGCCATTCCTACACTGACCCGCCCGAGACTCTCACTCCGCAGCGGCTCTGTGCTGTGCATGCTTCTTGTATGGCTTCAAGACTGCGGCACCCATCTACACCCATCGTTGGCCCAGGCACATTGCGCATCGTGGATGGGACAGTGTACTTGCGCTGAACCTGCGGACGAGTCGGCCAGGCCATGCCGTAAGTTGCTATACAAGGCTTTGACGAGTCTTGCGTTGCCAGCACGCGATGAAAATGCCCAAAGCTGTTCCAGTCCTTGTTCCATGTCTCCAATTGTGCTCACTGCCGCTTCCGAGACGTAGATAAGTTCTAATCTGTCAGCTGTGACCAGCTCCTAGCAGCCGCCATCTCCCGCCTAGCTGTCTTGTGGGTGGAAGGTTGTAAAGACTCGCCGATGTTTGGGCAACGCTGAAAAACCTCAGACCTTCTGCTCCTTGGCCCACGCGAGCATCTGCCTGGACGGTTGAGATTCTAGACTCGCCGCCGTCCAACCCTCAGCATGCCTGCAAAAACCACTCAAGCTGTCATGAAGGTCCACATGTGGATTTTGATTTGGGAAACGCAATTTGCATTGTTGGCAAGCACCCGAATACCATACCAAGTCAAGTTGATAAAGATGCTTTATTTGCGGCACCGCATGCTTGTACAGTATCACGCGGAGATGGAAACATGCAGGCGGCTCTCCAAGTTCTTGTTTGCAGTCTCCACCGCGACAGCGAACTGCAGGTTCTTGACCTGCATCTACACCGATCACGCGTCGCTTGCTTGCTGTGTCTGGGCTGCGAGCCGTGTAATCATGCCCGACGTAGACGAGAGTTTCTGCAGGGAGCGCTCCCAGCCTTAAGGAGCTACGCCAGCACACGCTGCACTAGCTTTGGCTTCCCCGTTCGCATCCTCAAACGTTTCAACTCTAAGGGCTTGGCACCTTTACCAGGGAGTTGTGAAACTCCTGTACACATTGCAAGTGGCAGTGCGTTTGTACTGTACGGCTCAACACCGGCAAAGCTGCCCAACATTCCCAACGCACCCAAATCCTCTTTCCTCATTCGACTTCTGGCTGCTCTTCGACTCGAAGATTACAGAACTGTGGACTAAAGAGACCGATTCCTCTTCCAAGCGACAAAGTAACCAACGAATTCACCTGATTTCACCTGCTCACCTGCTGCCGAGTTGGCTCCTAAGCCTTCGTTTTGCAGTCACTGTAACTATCAGCTAGCGTCGCCTCCCTACACTTCCGTTCGAGCTACTGGAACTTGCTGCTGACTTGACTCAGCTGCACACAGAGAACAAGCTTGAACCTCTCCTCCGGTGTGCTCTCGAACATTCGACCACAGCCTCAACGAAGAGTGCTTTTCAACACGCACACACACACACCGCACATATACAACTATATACATAATTAAAGCTGTCTATATCGATGTTCTTTATTTGTACACATACGCACATACCTTGTATGTATATACCACACGATGCAAGAAAATCGAAGCACTGCCTTGCGCTGCACAGCAAAACACCACGGCACAGTACATTAGAGTGCGATACGATACAATACATTGCAATACCCTGTGTGCAATGCATACTCATTATGAAAACATTATGCGTTGCAAGCATATCACTACATTCCACAGAATTCACTTCCACTACGTTACGCGACATTACATTGCATACCACACGGGCATACATGCCTGCCTACCTACCTACCTACCTACCTACCTGCGTACATACATACATACATGCATACATACATACATACATACATACACACACATATATATATACACACACATATACACACACATACATACATACATACATACATACATACATGCATACATACGTACATAGGTATGCGTATACATATACGTATATATTTTTGTAGTATTTTTGTATTTGACAAGTGGCGGAGGCTAGTTAGTTTATTCTAAGAGATTGAAACTTTACCTAAAAGTTTATTTCCAGAGTTTAAACCGAAATTAATCGTGATTAGCCAACTCGCCAGGCCAGGCTTTGTTTTATTGAAAGAAACTATCCAATTTGCTTTGGTAGAGGGAGGGGGGTGGGGGGGAAACAAACTGACTCGCTTCCGGGGTTTGTTTCTTCGAGTAAAAACTAACTCGCCTGGGCAGAGTTTGTTTCTCCGGAAAACGACAAACGTTTGTTGGTCATCTTTGTTTTGGTCTTGAAGAGCAAGGTTTGGCGGGGAAAACAAACTAACTCCGAAACTCTGGCCCGACGAGTTGTTTCGGCGGGCACAAACAGACTCCGACCAGGTGAGTTTGTTTCAGCGGTGAAAAAAAACAAACTCCGATGGTAGAAGTTGTTTTGTTTCAGTGACGCCACGGGGAGTGGCTTGGGCGTCGGGGGGTGTAGGGGGGTTTGTTTCTCCTACGAACAACAAACTCTGGGGGCGGGGGGGGGTTTGTTTTTCCTACGGAAAACAAACTCTGAGGAGAGGGACGGCTTGTTTTTCTTACGAAAAGAACAAAGTCTGGGAAGGATAGGGGTTAAACGCGAAGAAAAGAAAATAAATACTGTTTTGCGTTTAAACTAACTTGCGCCTACCCTGGACTCCGAAAGTTTGCTTTTCTGTGTCTAAACTAAACAAACCCTAGAAAAGATTTGTTTTCTCTGTCTAAACTAACTTGCGCCGATATATTTAAATAGTTAGTTATAAATGGACACACCCACCACACGCGTATATGTGTGTGTGTGTACACATGTGTCTCAAAGGACCGTTTTTCATCCCAAAAGGCTGGGGGACATCGGAATTGGCGTGGACTGTACAAGCTCACAAAAAGAGATGTGCGCGTCCCCGTTCAACAGTCCTAACTTTTGCTATCTCGTCCGTAACGTCTCTCCTGTAGGAGCGGCCCCGCAGCTTAGTGAGGTCGGGGTGGGCGAGCCAGCACGCCGCGCCCCAAACTAGTTGCGAAAGGCGGTGGTGCACTCGGCTGCGCCGCGTAAACGCTGCGCTGCTAATGTGGCGTTTTCTCAACGGACCTCTCTTCATCCGAAAAGGCAGGGAGACATCCGTGCTGGCGTGAACTATACAGGCTCACCGGAGGAGACTTGTGTGTCCACCCGTTCAATACTCACTTTTTGCTATCTCGTCCGTAGAGTCTCATAGCAGGGACCCCGCCCCGCAGCTTAGTGCCGTTGGGCTGGCGAACCTGCCTTGGATACAGAGAGGGCCAACTCACCCAATCGCCAACTTCCCTTTGGTTGGGCAACCCCACTGGCGAAGCCACCCGCCAAAAACAAGGTCTGCAGGGCGGCCGTGGGGCGGGCAAAAGAAGCATCTCTCGCGCGTCGTACATGCGCGTGCAGTCTGACCCTGCCAGCGGCATTGAACACTGCCCATGCAACGTCGTGCCATGTCATGCCCTACCCTTCTGCTCACCACAACCCTTGCTTACGCTTCTTACCTGTACCGTAAGGCCCCTATACTCCTTACATCTCCTTTCCGTTGTTCTTACCCTTACTTACTATTACCCGCGACGCAAAGAACTGCAGTCATGCAGTCACCCCTCAGGCCCGATGCCAGCCACGAACAAGGTGTCTCCAGTGAAGACCAAGCCCTGTTCTGCGGGGACAAGCTCTGTTGGGGCATCCCATGGTGTGCGACTGCTGCATTGGCGTTCGTCCAATCTCTCGCATTATGCCGAGCACAGCCAGAGTGCGGATGCGAGAAGCAACTCTCTAGCAGCGCAGTTCATGTTGATCGTCACTCTGATTTCTTCATTGAGGGTGATCGGCCAAAGATCGTGGGGAGATTACACCATGCGCACATCAAGCCAAGAGAACTGTATCTGCATTGCCCACATCTGGAATCACGAGAATGCTGCGGAATTTATCCGTGATGCTGACTCCAGTATCAAAGGAAGGCTTACAGCACGTTGCGGGCAGCTTCAAGACTTTGTTACTTGTATCTTCATTGTTTTTCCGAACGCCAGCCTGCGGATCTGTGGCTTCAGAACAATGGTAGCATATTGAGCCACGTGTGTGTCCAGGCGTGTGCAGGGCACAGACCTGAGTACAGAGACGAGAACACCACGGCCCTTGAGTTCTAAACGTTCTAAACAAACTCAGCACCTCAATCGCTCCGATGTTGAACTTGTCGCAATGCTCCTGCGGAGAGAAGTGGCTGCCCTGCCGGAAGATTTTGATTGAGTTCTGGTCAGGCAGTGTAGTAGCAACCCCAGTCCAGTGGATCGGTGCAAGCAGCTACATTGTCAATGCGCCCGCCATAGATCCTGATGCCCGGCACCTGTTAGATCCCACGCACCAGAGGAATACAACAGCCAAGCATCATGCCAGCAAGCCTGCTTGGCCATCTCCTCGTTCCCACCTGCATGATCATAGTGATGATGTGTGGTTAGAACCTCGGCTCAACTTCACACTAGCAGACGGGTACAGCCAGAAGGGTGCACTTCCACGACGAGGCACTGCCACAATCTGAACACCCTCCTCCTTAGCCTTCGCCAGGACCAGATGCGCCTCGCAGTCAGTGGCTGGCCGTACTCACAACGTCTACAAACATCACGAAGCGCATGCAATGGTTCGAAGATGGAACGAGGAATGGTGCAACACGAATCCCGCAGGAGTCCATGATGATGGATCATCCTAAAGATCCGACCACCCACCGCCACCACACCGCGGACCCTACCAGTACGTGCCTCACAGGAGTACCTGTGCGGCGCAATGATGGATGTCGCTGGTACAAACTTTTGCCACGGATTTCACGATGGCTCCCTCCACTTGTGAAGGACATGATGTATAATTGAAAAAGAGCCCAAACGTTGATTTTGCTAGACACCGAGAACGGCCCCACGTGAAAATGAGACGAACCGCAGATGGGGTGAGGCCACTGCCCGGATTCCAAAGGCAGGCTTCACAGGCACGTCCGAACAGGCAGTGCAGGGGAAGCTTCGTTGACCGGGACCCCTCAGCTAGCTTTGTGCCCGGCCCTGCATCCATGAACGAGAATGATGTGGAGGTTCGCCTTCTTTTTTCGAAGGAGTCGGAATCTGAAGCCTTACATGAGCATGTATGCAAGTGAAGATTCGGCCTTTCCTGCCCTTGGCATTGCCCAAGTGCGTGAGAGGAGAAGGCATGTGGCGGTTTGGTTATTGCACCCACAGATGCCTTACAGCGCTATACCTTGCAGACACTCTACGAGAGTAGACCTTACAAACAGTGTGGATCAGTCCCGACAAAACTCGCTCCTGCGCTTTTCTTTCGTCGTGACTCGAAGTTTCGGCTACTGATGGTCACTGCAAGTAACTGTGCGTGTAGAGCTCAGCAAACATGCAGCAGACGAGAGCACCAACAAAACGCATAAACCACGTGGAATAGCTTGCAGATACAGTAGCGGAGAGATTTGCCGATCTGCATCGTGTAATCCTGCCCTTCAACTTTATCAAGATGATCTGTTTTGGTGCCAGAAGCTGCCAGAAGTACACTACTGCGGTGTGAGCTGCATTTTGACCCTGGTGCTCAGGCCGTCTAATGATTGGCCTCCGCCGGGTCCACGCATGCTGCTATCTTCTTCGAATCATCGATTAGCAGGTACCTGACAGAATGACGCAGGCTGCTAGACCAGCGAACCGGACAGTAGCCAGACTTGACTATCTGCACATGGCAAACATGCATCTCACCGCTTAAAAATAGCTTGGTGAATTTGACTTGAAGGAGCGGCGTTTTCACTGCCCTCAATGAGCGCCAACTGCTGTCTCTGAGGATGGCACGCATAGTTGTCAGAAAGGACTGGAACCACTACGACCCTCATCATGCAACCTTGTTGCTGAGTCTTTAGCTGCATGGCTGGTATGAAGGACTTATGCCAGCTCCCCGAATCTGCGAAAACTCGTTGTGCTCCCTGTGATTCCCATCACCGTAAATTGCGCTTTCAGCTGAGAGCCAATAGAACGCACGCGATGCGGAATGAACTTTGGACAATGAGCTATCCTCTCTCAAAGCTCGGTCTGTCCCGCATGTCTTCTTCGTCCGACAAATATGATGGCAAACCACCTCGTCACCTGCGCGCAGTTGAATGGTGACAGGTTGTGAGAACCATCTTCTCCACAAGCACAGAGTAGCCAACTCCAATTAATAATGCATCACGTAAGATAAATTGGTTGTGCCTGCAGACCTCACGAAGATCATGTCGCAAGGATTAAACTGTCTTCATGCTGCGTAACCACAAGCATTGCTAGTTCGGTTCGCCTTGTATTGTCTTGATCGCCACTAGGAAAACTTGTCGCCAGCCTGTTGAGCAAGCAACTTCTCGCGCTGTTCGACCGCACCGGCAGTTTCGCTGCACCTGCGGCCACTGGAAGATCAACCGACTGTTACCACGCAATCGTTTTCACCTGCCTTGATCGTGCAGGCACCACAGGCTCCCTCGTGGCACTTCAGTTCGCACGTGTGCGAACAACCTGCAGCCGCAACAGCATTCTGCGACGGGCAGCTGATGCAAAATGATGCAAACCGATCCTTAACTACTGACGCGTGCCGGACCGTGCCGACGTACGACTCTGTAGACTTGTGGTACACTGGGCCAAAAACCATGTCAACGTGTAAAACTGCGTCGAAGATTGTCAAAGCTGCTGGCCCTGCTGGTGGCCGGTTGGGTGCGTGCTTGGGTGAGTGTGGGTGTCAACCGCTCCAGCACATGAGCCAAGGGAGTCCCTTCCCGTCGCCGTTTTGACTTTGCAAAGTTTCTGGAATCGACTGGAAGGGAAGCTGGATGCAGTTTCCTGTGCCTGCAGAGAAGGTGGACAGGACACAATCCACAAAGAAAGTCTGTTTTTTCTTGAGCATTACACGACGACTGCAACAATTTGTCTGGGCCACAATGCAGACATGCTCGTAGCCTGTTGAATGTCTGAGAATGGGCATGACAGTCTGCATGTGCAGCTCAGCTGCATCCTGCAGCTTTAAGTCATGTAGGAGTGCAACCAGCCTTTGCGAAAGTATATTTGCCACGGTGGGTGTCGGGGTGGGTATTATTTAGTTGTACCTGCAACAACCTATCTCTCGCCGAAGCTTAGGTTGGAAGCAACGTACAAGGCCCAGTGGTCATCGGAAGAAAACAACCTTGCGGGTTGTCGAACTGCCAGCCGGTGCAACTATGAAGACATGAATGAAAGGCAGAAAACCCTGCCAAAGTAAGACGAAGGATCGTCTTCTCCAGCATCAAGCGCGAGGGCGACACCAAAGAGTGCGCTGCGTTGTAAGCAAATAATGTACACCACCAAAGCCCCGTCAACAAGGCTGTGTGGGCATGCCATTGGAGAACACGTAAGTGGCGAAAGCCAAAGTCGTTGTGTCACAGACTGGTAAACAAAGACAAGAACCACAAGCATAATGGAAAGTCATGCACACGCATGAAGTCGCTCGCTCAAGCACACGTAGGCCAAGACAAAACCGGGAAAGGCAAAGGAAAGTCATGGTAACTAGAACGGTCACCAGCCAAGAACCAGATTGAACTGCAGACCACCACTCCGACCCCAAATACCCGAAGCCTCCGCTTAGCAGCATGGGCCAGAGCTCGCCAGGTAGCGTGCAGCCATCCCATCCAGAAAGCCAATGGTTGCTGGGAGGTGGCGGGCTAGATCCCTCCCGCACAAGGGGAACTGTCGTTGCCCCCGTTGGTTTGCTTGGCTTCGCACCTTCCACGCAAGGCCCGGAACCCCGTGCCCGTCGAGGCGCGAGGGGACACGCCACCGCCCCGCAATCCTTATCGGGTCTTGGTCTGGGTGTGCACGTGTGTGTGTGTGTCTGTAGGTGGCTAGGTGGGTGTGGGTGTGGGTGTGGGTGCGCGTACGTGTGTGGGGTGGGGATGGTGGGGGGTACCGTTGAAACGGTGAACAGTGGAAAATGTCGCATGTGATGGGAGGAGCAGATAGGAGCAGGACTGTGGAGCGTTATCGAGCGGGCAACTCATGCACTCCTGGGAACTCTCCTGGGATTCAATCATATGCAATCCTTTGGAACTTTGGAGCGGGTCCTTTGACTCGACACCGGTATGAGCTGAAAGAATCTCAGGAAGCAAAATGGGTTTGGAAGTTGAAGTCTATTCAAGCTTAACTGTTTGCTATTTGTCAGGACTTTGCCGTGAATCGCCTGAATGCTTGCATCAATCACGATGTGATGTTCATAGCATCAGAGGCCCCAGAACATTAATTAAGCTGTCTTCAAGGACGTTCGTTCGGGCTGTGTTCATGAAGGACCTGGGCCTCGACCGCTAGATCGACGACTTTTACCAGGACAGACCCGCGAACTAGTCTGATGATTGCATCTTGTACCACGCGTTTGCATGCCATTTGGGGGGTTCGACAGCTGCGGGGACTTGGAGTCATTGAGTCTATCGTGCGGATGCCGCAGCTCTGCCTGTGTGAGGTGCAGCCTGAGGTCTCAAGCATGGATGCAAAATAGTCCTTTCTAGGTCCAACCGAGCCTCTGCGCACACGGGGAGTTCTCCAAATTACGGTCCCGTTTAGGGTCCATTTTAGAAGGGTGCCGTACTGTTTTTGGGACCTCAAAAAGGGATCCTAATTTAGAGAACCACTTAACATCAAGGAGGCGTTGGCATGATGTGATGCAGCTTTCACGCCGTAAATTAATTAAGCACGAGGTAATGCAGCCCGGAAGCAAAAGGCCCCTCCTACCGTCACATACAACGTCAAAGCGCCGACTGCTCTCTGAACACCGAGCGTCCCGACGGTCGTGTCTTCTCCCACATAGCTGCTTGCAAAGAGGGAGTGGCTGTGAACACCTCCCAGCAGACGCGTCAGTGCCGAACATGCAGATCGATCAAAAGGGCTTGCTCAGACAGCGCATGCAGGCGTCCGAGACTCTCTGCAAACTCGACAAGTGTTCGACCGGCACCTTATACAGCAAGGCACTTTGAACTGGCACAAAGGGCATATCTTGCGTATGTTAATATGTGTTCTAAGATGCAAAGGCTTCCCTGACAGTGCAAACGACCCACAGTTGCAGGCGTGTGGAAAATAAGCAAACCCTGCATCATCACCTTCAGCAACACGTTACCTAAGATCTCAAACAAACACGGTTTAGAGCCACTAAGGGTGAAATATAAAAAAGAATCCAGCATCTCCTCGGCCTCATGATTTCTCCCCTTCTCTGAGTTGAGAAGCTATGATAGCATTACTTTGTTACGATGATCTACTGGCTGCACCTACATCGGACTTGTCATTGCCATTGCTCTGCTACAACCTCAAAACTTGCATGCCCGTTTCCTGCGCGATCCGGTGGTGTTGGCCAAAGCGCATACGTCATAGCAGTGAGACTGTCTGGGGAACTACGCTCCCATCCCAGGCACATCCCTCACACGGCACCACTGCCCTTGTCGTTCTCTTCCGGATCCCCTCCGGGAATCATCCTCAGCACGACCAAGGCCAAACAACGAATCTAGCTTTTTCTGTTGCTTCAGCGCCTCCTCAAGCTGACCGAACGCACAAACCCTTAACATGCACACCCGGCCGCCCTTCGGCCCTATGCGCTGAACATACACCATGGAGCCATGAACATCCATGAACCTGGACGGCATGCTACACAAGTTGCAGTCTCCAGCTCAACAGGACTTGGGATTCTGATGTCGGAAAGGGCAAAAGCCCCAAATAACAAGGGAGGAGGGATCCGTTGCCTTTTGCAAGCACTGTTGTCGTCGTTGTTCTGGTGGGTGGTCGATCGCGAGGCCATACCACGATTGATATGGCCGCGGTGGACCCTAAAAAATGATGTTTGCTTGAACAGGATTCCTTTGAGCCGTTCAAGATTGGCGACAATCAAGCCCCTATCCGAGCATATCTAAAGACTGTGTCTAGCTCTGCTCTCATGATTTCCTATAATGAACGACGGGAACTTGGCTGCTCGACAGAGGTGTAATATGCCAAGCCACAACCGAAATCCTCATCCCCAGCCACGTGAACCCGCAAAAAGGTTCCAGCTTTTCGACTGCATGCACAGGAAATTCAGAATCACCGAAAGCCACCTTTTTGTTGGAACCGGGGGCGAAAAACCGCTGAGGCCGCTGGCATCGTGATGTTATTGCCATTGAGAAGTATCCTGGCATGAGCAGGCAATGACTGAAGTGACAGCCACTGCAACGTCAGACTCGATCAGGAGCTTCTGAATCTCAACGAGCCAGCATGTCGACTCCAGATGTGTAATCTTTTTGCCCTGGGGCGTGAAGGTGTACTCTCGCACATCCTTAGCAAGCCGCAAGCCCTCGATGAAACACTTACAGATGTTCTCGCATCAAAACCGAGCCATGGACGTCCATGACCATGTTGACGTAATCATCAAAACCGCGCAAGGTGCCCACAATCTCCTTGTCACCCTTCATAATGACCTGAGCCAGCATTTCTCGCGACGGCCATAAAGCCATCGCAATTTCCCGTGTCGCTTCAGGGTGGCCTTGCTGCTGGCCCTGGCGGCCTTTAATCCCATACGACAGAAACATATCAAAACATCTATTTAACACATGTAAAGCCGTAAATCACAACGACGACGCTACAAAAGCTGCTATTGCTAGGATTCCGACAGTAGAAAGGGAGGTAAAAACTCGCTTGCAATATTGTACACTCAATACATCCTACTGTCGGCTACTTTCGCGGTCCATGTCGGGTTGACACAATTTCTCTGCTAGGCTCTGCACCCAAATGCGGGATCCGATGCACTTGTCGATGAGGGCCTCGACTTGGCGAGTTGTCACAAGCTTTTGCTTGACCAAGAATCTGCTGCTTGCCATTGTTTGCCGCCCCTGTTCGGCCCGTGGCCAGGGGCAAGTAGGAGGGCGCTGCCGAGATCGACGCCATCTCCACGGACCCGGTCTGCCTGAGCTCGAGGCCGCTTGGGCAGAAAAAAGTGCAGAATGCAATTCGAGGATTCGAGCGTGTGGCCCGCCCGGCACCGGACCGTTGCTGTGGGGCGGCTCTACGTACCCCGGTCTGAGCCCAGACCCGACGGACAAGCAAAGTCACGCGACCACGGCAGCAACCACCAAAAAAAGGGCCTAGCTTGTCTGGCAGGGCATGCCTTCTCCTCGGACCCACCTGAATCCGAGTCTGCACGGATCTGCGAAGGACAACGCGGCTCAGGTCATCCGAGGAGGGTGCAAACTTCGCGAGGCGAGGTCGCACTGACTCGCTGCTGCAATTGGAGGTCCTCAGACACAGCAGACGGCGGCCATCCCGAGTGGCAAAACCGGTGTGACTAGACTGACTAGACTGTCGATGCTGAGGAAGATGCTTGCCGCAAGCACAGCCTTTGCAGGAACACAAAATGACTAAATGTTCTGGAGGCGTGACTGGAAGGCAATCTGCGGCTATGTCGGAAGGGGCTAAATGAAGCTCCTGCACTGGTACCTCTGCAGCAACTGGGGTGGAAGCGATCACCCCAAGTCTTGGGATCCTTCGGACACCTTGGGGTCTCATAGAGTAGCGAAGAAATCGCAAAAGCTAGACCTTTCTGCAGCTCGGTGCTGTGGCGCGGACAAGCCGCAATCGCCAGGGTGGCATTCCCTTTCGCAGAAATGCTCCTGCGATTGGCGGCTTCTTCTGGCCAATGCCGGTAAATGTGTAGTAATTGCGGTGCCCCTCAATCATGCAGCGCATTGCACATGTCGGCGAAGTGCTAAGCCAGCAGCATTGTCCAGCACTAAGCGGCTTCTATGCAAGTGAAGATCTAGGGAAATATGCTTTGCCCACAGAATTGGAGCGCAACTGGCAGTGGCCTGACTAGTGCCTGCCTTGTAATTAATTACAAGCAGTTCTAAAAGCCAAGGAGCATGAGCTGCGAGAAAATAGCTCATGCCCTCTTCCAGGCCATGTCAAAAGCTTGGAATTCAGCCTTACATGATCACGGCATGCCGTGGTCAGCAAGCCCGCCCGGAAAGAGATCCGAGATGCCTCGGCGACAGTGAACGCCGATTGAAGCTCACGAATCCAAACACTTGTCGTTGTCTGTTGCTGCAACACTGCATATAACCACTGAACCAAAGCAAGAGACTGTCGTCATTCTCAACCTCCTCCTCTGCTTCGGCAGTTGCTGTGGAATTCTCCTGTCCAGCTCGAAAACTAGTAGCAGGACATTTGGCATGTGAATGAGCTGTTGCGCAAGGGCACAAATCAAGAAGAAGCAAGAAGCCCGCGGAACTTGGACATTGGGCTCAAAATATCCCACCGCTGACCCAGCCGCTAGGGCAGATATCCATGCTATTCCATGCTGCTGTGGTCAGTGATTGTCAATTCTCCACATGGCAGCCGCAGCTTTGCAATCATCGGCCCAGCTCATCTGGTCTCTCAATCATGCAACTTCGCGTGCATCACCTCATGCATACTTCTATTTCGGCCAGCGAGCCGGATGACAAACCGCCACGCAAAGCGGGCATATGTCATATGTGTTCGACATCAACAACCTGTGCTAAGAGTGTGACATGCACCGTTGTGCATCGCATGAACGGTGGAGGAATCTCACGAATCTTGCCTACGCGGGACCCCTCCCACTGCCATGCCCATCCCTACCGGGCAAAGCATGCACATCATGACAGTCGCCACCCTGTCCGGCGTCAATCGTTGGTCTCCATGAGCATGCCAGGCTGCGTTCGGGTCGTACTTGGTACCGTCGGAATACCTTGGCTTGGGACAGGTCCCGGTTCATCGGGGCTCTTCAGATCCAGTCGGCCACCAAGCTGCGTGATGTTGGCGATTGGGCACCAAGCACCCTTGCAGCTTGTGCCTTCGGTCGATATTTCTCCACAGCATAGAGTCTCGAGACATGTTACAAGCTACATACACTGCATGATTCTAGACTCTAGACTTCTCTAGACCATCTAGCCGAATCTAACCTGCACTTTCACCGAGTGTACATGACTTGAACCTCAGCACCGGGCATTGTTGCTCATTGAGGGCGCAGTAATCATCTGCAGCGTTTGGTCATTGGTACACTTTCGTGGAAACCGACATGCTTACATCTTTGGGTCCCGCACCTGATGCGGCAATGCCCGAGACGGGAAAAGCACTTCTGCAAGGGTCTGCTTTGTTCTTGAAGGCTTTCACACACCTCACTCAAGCAGTCTTCTGCTAATTGTAGTTACCTGAGCGTGGGACTCTCTGAATCACAACCCAAGTGGCTTTGGCCCAGGGCACCACGTCCCACCGCAGCCTCTGCAGCGGGTCTTTTCGGAGCATGTAGAATCCTTTGCAACATCTTCGCAGGCACCACACCTCATGGCATCGGCCGCTTTCAATTCGGAAAAAGTAGTTGCCGTCGTAGCAGAATAACTAGTTTGAGCAATTTCTAACGAGGAGCAGAACTGGCCAGCGCAAACAGGATGCCGCTCTTACTACGCACGCAGACTCAGACATCGTCGGGCTTCTACATATCTTGGACAGAATACTTGTGACTGATTATGTCATGTCCTTACGTTCTTCTGCTTTGAACTCGGCCACATACCATCTGCTCCAGTCTTTCCACGATAGCAGCAGAAGCCGTTGGTGTCGTCCGGTGCCACATACACGTTCTCTTCACGACCGTAGCTGTCCTGCCGAAGTGTAGATGGGAGATGGGGGCCATGTGCTTTATCACCGTGAGAACAGCAAGAATCCCTCGTCCGACCTCTTCAACTTTGAAGTTTGATGCATAGCCTGCTCGGCACCACTCCTTACGCTGCGCTGTGCATGGCCGCATGCATCACTGAGTAAAGACTTGTCACTCCCTGCCACTGGCAAACCCATGTTGAGTTGGCAAGCGTCTCCCTTGCAGCTGCTGCATGCGTCTTTGGACCTGAGCTCATAGAAGTGTCTTCGCAGCTCCTCCTCCTCCTCCTCCATGAGAGCTAAGCATGAGTGGGCTCAAGCAAACTGCCTGGACCTTTTAGATGCATCTACACACACCCAGTAATAGTTACACAGAACAACTCAAGCGAAGTGGAGCTTTTGATCAATGTGCTTACGCTTCATCTGAGCCCCTGGACGAAGCGCAGAAACTGTCACCTGAGCTCTGCGAAGGTCATGTTGCATCTGCCAGCAAACTGCATCTTGCGTGGTCTTAGGCCTGCACTGACGGCAATGCCTTTGGGGAATGCTGTGCCACACATGTTGCCCGGATCAGAGGCACTCATAACCTCACAAAAGGCTGCGCTGCACACACCATGACAGCACGTATCATGATGTATGAGCCTGGCATTGGATTCCGTGCTACAGCTAGGCTTCGTTGCCGTGGTTTCCTGCGCTCTGGAGCCTTCAGTGAACGCTCCTTCCTATTCTTAATCTCCTGGGCGGGTCAGGAGGGTGGAGTTTTGGCAGAGCATGTCAATGACATGTGTCTGGGGGCACCACGCATTTGGTTTCACACCAGGTCCCACGGCACTCGCCGAGGCCTGCAAGCGTTTGCACAGCGGGGAACCTCCCATGTCGTCGCAGCCGAAGCCGGGGACCGGGCAGTTGCTCTTTCTGGAGCACTTGCTCTTGTAGGATGCAACGGACATCGGATAGCAGGTGCCACAGGTGTCTTTCGGGTTTTCTCCGCTGAAGCAGCAAGTGCCACCTTCTTCCTGCTCCCTTTGATCCTGCTTCAACGTCTCGTTGATTTTGCTGATCGTCTCCCCCACATCATCGTCGCCACTGTCTTCAATGGTTTCAGATGGGTCGGGCACGTAAATCTGCACCGTGTCGCTTTCCGCCTTGGGCGACTCCGGGGTCTCCACACTTTCCTCGTCGGCTTCGGCAGTGCCGTTCGATGCCACTGGCGTGATCTCTGCAGCCACGGAGTCGCTGATGTTGGAGATGTTGGAGTCGGCAACGACCGTTGTCACATCTGCGTCGGCTGCATCAGTTGCATTGGCCTCCGTCAGATTGTGCTCCGTGATGGGGCTCTCCGACTGCAGGCCACGAAGTTGGCGCAAAGAGAGGCTGCATGCCTCGCCTTCGCAAACGTCATCTGCAGACAGTGGCACTTCGATGTCCTGCGACACGCAGACCAGACGGACAGTGCCCTCGTAATTACTCTAGCAATCTCTAACACCTCTCAACAACCCACCTGACAAGAGCTTGAATGTGCCTCTCCTGAGGGTGTGTTGCCGCCAAGACGGCGCTGATGGCCACAATCACATGCAATGACTGCCGCAGCATAGCCGTGAAATAGTAACTAGTTGGGAAGGCAGCGCTGTTGGGCTACAAGATCTTGTATCGTGAAAAAAGTGCGTTTCGCACCTTGATCCGGGATTGCAGCACAAGCCGAACCGGCAACCAGGTCCAAGGCACTCAAGGGAGTCTTATGCTAGATCACTGCCACAGGGACCATCAAACCAACGGCAGGTCTAAGCTCACAATCAAAGAACAAACAGTGCGTCGTCTGCTGGCCTGGCAATCCAAAGCTTTGCCACATGGCTGGCTGCAGGAGAAGCTGGCCTGCCCACACAGCCGGCGCTCCTGATTCGAAGGATAATGTCAGGTCCACTGTGCTAGATGGACAAACTCTGGAGCACAGGCACCCAGAAGGATGTGTGCTCTTGCTACCTTGCGGCAACCCGAATTACGTATGCAGGCAGTAGAGGAAGTGGAGGCGAACACCGCCGAGCAGTGGTGGGAGGTGCCCACGAGGTGCAGAGCTGAGTAGAGAAAGCCAACATCACGCAGGAATTACGAGTAGCTGCTCATTCAAGAAAGATCTTTGCTGTTCTCAACAGCCCCCTCGCTTTGCTGAAGCCAGGCGCTGCTACTGCCGGTGTACATGGGCGCGAGTGGCAGGTGGCTCGGGGGATCTCGAAGGGTGCCACGGTGCCAAAAGGACAAGATGGAGCGGCAAGATGAAAACAAACAAATGGCGAGATAGATGTGAAAGGGGTTCAGCTCGCTCGGCAATGCACTCTTTGAGGAACATGGCCGGTAGGGCAACGAAAGTTTCGAGAGGCTGCTGGCTAGCACCACCTCAATGACTCAAGAATAAGAATTCTTAGCTACTCGTCCAAAACACAAGCACAGAAACTGGCAGATCATACAGTGCAACACATGCGAAAACTAAAGCCTCAAGTTGCTCTTGGCACTGCATTGACTCGTCCTCCTTCTTGCCACAGAAACAGGCTTCCAGCGATGTCTCTGAGCAAGGCGGGCAGGGACCCTCGTGACACCTGTGAGATCAAGCTAAAGCAGGCATACAGGACGCGGAGCTGTAAGAATCCTCTCCGCGACTCTCCGCCTCGCTTTGCAAGCGTGTAGGCCTGAGGCATCAAGTGGATGCAACATGCGCAAAGGCTACGGCTAAGGCTACAGGATCACGCAAGTACGAGGTGTAGTTTCCCTGATACTGGGTTTGAAGCCGCAGCTCAGGGTTTTTCCACATGGCTGGCCGCAAGACCAGCGCTTGGGATCACCGCACCTGCGCTTAAGTCAGCGCTTCAGATTCAGAATGAACCCCCCTTCCAACGTCCAGAGCAGTGCTTCCTCGTCGTTTCAGTCTGCTCTCGGCCGCAATGGCAGCTCCCAGGACCACCAACCTCCCGCAAAACCAGTCATAGGTCAGGCGTGTGTGTCTGTCTAGAACCTGAGAAGGAATAAGGCAGAGACGGTGAACAGATCTGGCTGGCCGAGTCACGATATGATGAGATGACTGTTGTGCTTCGAATCATTCCCATGAACGTTTGCCACTTCGGAAATATCAGCTTGGCTTAGCACCGCAGTGCAGCGGGGACAAGGCCCGGGATGACAAAGCTCTGGGCAGGGATGAGGGCCTTGGAATTCCCATGCTTGAATTTGAGGGTCAGATGAAGGAAAGAAAGAAAATTGGGTCGCCACATCCTCGATTGCGCTCACACACCTGACTCTTCCGACATCTTCCGACTTCCGCTAGATTGCAATGACTTTTGCAGATCCCGCCTCGCCACAGCTGTGAGCTAGCCTGGCAATCTGAAGCTGACTTCTGGCCGAGAGACGCTGCTTTCTGGCTGAGGAGCCAATGCGGACTCAGCTCCGGCTCTGGCAGCTTCTTGCAATAGCAGCTGTACCTCAGAGCGACATGGCACCGGAGGGGGGTTCCAACGGCAGCACTGGCACGAACAAAGTGACCTTGCGTGGGGACAACTAGCGGCCGCAGGTTTCTTTTCGAGACAAGCACAAAAGCCGGTAGTGACCGCCTCTTCAATACGTTTCAGATCGCTCGAAGCTCCCGGGTCTAATTACTTCATGTCATTTGTGTTTTGGGCAGCCCTGTGCAACTTCACACAGCACGACTCCGAGCAAATTCACGTCAGTGAATCGAAATGCAAGGAGCAAACTGTGAAGGGTGCATTGAAAGCTGGCAGCTTCTACAGACCCTCAAGCCAGCACCTACAGTTCCTAGCACCTACAGTTCCTCCTCTGTACTGAAACCTGCTAGCAAAGATAACAGTTTCTCGGACGATGCGCCCGCAGGGCTTCGGCGTAATTTGTGATAGTGAGAGGTGGCCGCGCAGAAGCCTCATGTCTTGATTGGTGTAGTCAGTGTAGGTGTGTGCGTCTGGCTGCAGCACTTCCGTGTGGTACAGTATGTGCTTCTCTGGTGAAGAACTTTGCGAAGCCACTGTGAGTGAGCTGATGTGAAATGCTTCTGGGGGGTTGTAGTCGTCTGTGGTGAGCCCCGCGAATTCGACCCTGTGCCACGTGACCAGCGGTATGAAGACCGCGTCAATTTATAGCGCAGCTTCCACTTGAGTGTGCATCCCAGACGATCGGCACCAAGCGTCATCGTGGAGATTTATGAGGTTACAATGGCAAAGGCCCCCTGACAGACCCAGCCAACTACAAACCATTATCACGTCTCAATACAGCACACAAAGTTTGGCGAAGATCTTACTACACACCAGATCGAAAGCAGCTGTCGACCGTCACAGCACTGGTTCAGGGCAGCACGCTCCACATCACAACCCATCAACATCATCTGCCGGACAATGACTATAGACCATCCTTTTAGATCGTGAGCAGGCCTTTGTCAAAATTCACCCAGAAACGCTGCTCCCAGCTCTCACAAGGTATGGCGTTCCACCAGACCTTGTTGTCACTCCCGTAGACCTTGCTCCGGAACTCCAAAGAGAGGCCGATAGAACTGCCTTTTTAGATTGTGTTCGAGCAGAGACAAGGCTCTCTCCAGTTCATCCACCTGTTTGGTCAGCCGCCTCACAGCAATCTGAAAGGACTCATCAAGACCATCTACACCTCACCTTGATGCGCTGTAGCAGCAGCAGACAAACAATCCACCACCGAACATGCACAAACTGGCATTTAACAGGGATGTTCACGGGATGATATTATTGCGCAATGTGGACCTGGAGCTCACAGCCAACGAGCAATTTTTGCTTCGGCTCTACAGCAACCGACCACACCGCGCTTGTTGCAGGCACTGCCATCACGGCCGATCAACTCCTAGACTCGTTGCAGCGGCTCGTTGCACCACTTCAAACTCTAAAAATGTGTTCTCCCGAAATCACTAATGCTTCCAGATTGTGTGCATCCAGCCATTGCCACGTTTCGGTCTGGGCCTGGTGCCTTGTTCAAGGCCAACTGGCCAACTGCTTCAGACAGGGCTGCTGTGGGTTGCTCTGCGGAGATGGGATCCAGGGTGACCGTGGCAGGTTTCACGACCCCATCGCCTCACAGGATTGCTGTGTCCCACAACACCCACAAAGTTGGATGTAAAAACAGCTGCAATATACAAAAGACCCAACGGCGATCTCGACTACTGCCATCATCCACAAAGATTGGCGCAACATTGTTCGCAACGTACACACCGTGCCCGGGGCAATCCGGGGCAGCTCTCGACAGCAGCCACTGGATGATGAAGGTGTGCCTTCTTTGCAAGACCAAAAAGTCCAGACGGCCCCGCGAAAACTGGGTCCTTCCTGCCACCCCACTGAGTCCCAGCAATCTTTTCACATTTAACAACACCCAACACCACTTCAATCACCGCAAACGACTGCTTAGAAAGCTACCCCCATCACGGCCTGGCAAGAGCTCCAACAGACAGCCACAACGCGTTCAGGGACACTATTCCGACAGAATACTCCATGCAAACGCCCCGGGACCTCATTCAACACCGCACGACAGCACGGCGCTCACAGCACTACGAGCTGGGATCACAACTGCAGAAACACGTCAGAAGGCAATTCCGCAAAGACAAAACCCAGTGACTGAAACAACGTCTCCCTGAGAGCGAAGCCACTCTGGGACCCACAGTGTAAATGGCCAAAAAAATATGTCAGCTCCGAGTACAAGCCACGCCCGGTCTCAACACGAGACTCACGGGGCAGGCCAACCAGCCAAACAGAACAGGCACAGCAGCTCCTTCCACCAAAATTGGCGATCGTTTCCTGTGTGCCGTGATGTGCCGCGACGTGTAGTGTTGTGTGAGTTGTTGCCAAAAAGGGTCTCTGCACGCCTTTTCGCATTGGTTGGGCGGCGCATACACTGTGAACATGGTAGGGGGGTGCCTCGACTCGTCGATGCACGTGAGGTTGGTGATGGTGGGAGGAAGGTGTGGGGCCCCGGACTGTAATCAGCGAAACAACGTGAATGTTTGGGTCGGTTTGCCAGACGCATCACATTCCCCTGCCGTGATGGTGTAGCCGTCGATCATGAGATGGTCTGGCTGTTTCATGTGGGTGTCTTTGGGAGCCAGCTTGCCGGCTGCGGCGATGTGTGCGCATGATGCCGACCGGCGTGAGTAGCTCGCCTGCTTCAATTATTCTAGCAGATTCTAGCAGACCGTAGCGTTCCAGAGGGCACCGCGAAGCTGGCGCTGGAAGCTTGTGTGTATGTTGTGTTTGGTTCGTCCCCTCTGTGAGGGTTGGGCAATGTTTCGAACCAGTGGGCTGCTGCGTGGGACTTTGGGTTTGAGTTTGAGGTCCTGCTGCATGTGGTGTCGGCTGTTCTTAGCTGTCGGGCCGTATCAAGGCTTCGCGTTCGGCCGGTCCGGGAGCCCTTACATTCCCCGGGACGGTGTGCACCCGGTCGGACTCAGTGTGTGGGGGGGTGCAGGGTGGAGTGCGTAGGACCGTCAGGGACTATTTGGCGCGCGCCTTTTGTCGATACAGCATACATCAAAATGTCAATCGGCCCTGACTGCGGAGACATCGGCGATAGTCTTAAGTTCTTGGGCTAATGCTCTGGGTTGCCGTGCTGCGGAGCTGCCGCTTGTGCCGGGAGCGCGAGGCCTTTGCGGTTTTGGTGTGTGAGATGGATGTGGGTGTGTGGGGTGGGGTGGCAAAGCGTGCACTTCAAGGCACGTTCCTCAATCCCGAAAAATCCGCCTTGCATTGTCAGGTTTGAAGATGTCACAAGCGCAGTTGCCTCCATCGTGAGCGGGTTCCCGACAACGCGCTGGGAAGATGAGAGCGCTTGCCAATGCATCAGGCGTCGAAGGCATTGCTTTTGAGGACGTCCGAGGCGGCCTTGGCTTGGCACCGCTGTTGTGGAGGTCGATCCACTGCTCGTCGTTGTACTGGGAGACACGAAACCACGATTGATTAGCGTTCTCCATTGCTTGTGGCCATGCTTGTGAGGCAAAAAGCAAAGACGGGGTTGTCCCTTGTCTGGGTGGTGTTTGCGTCCAGCTGCACCTTGTGCCAGCAACGAACAACAGCACGGGAGCATGTGTCCATGATCTTGTTCTGTGAAGATGGAGATTGGGGCGAAGCTACTGCCCATAATTGTCATCGTGAGGTCCCGGTCGATGTAGCCCTAGCTGGCCCAAGCCAGGCCCTTTTCGATGGTGAACTTGCGATCCTCTGCCGTTGCCCAATCTGGGAAGCTTCTACCACCCAATGTCCGTTTGGTTGCCTCGATCTGTGAGTACATGAGGTCGTTTTCGGTCGAGGCGTGGAAATTTGAGCATCCTCACTTCGTGCTCCAACGAGCTCGTTGCCGACTTGCTGGCCAACCTTCACCTGCACGCCCTCCGTGATCATCACGCTCTGCGCGTTTCACCGGCTGCGAGGAACCAGCCACTGAGGAAGGCCAGGGCATATCCTAATCCTGGGGTCTGGCCACTGATGCCACGACGGGCCATCTCCCGTCAGCATGGTCTCGCGCTATCCCTTGCCCTTGCTTGCAGGGTCATAACTTCCAGAACCTGATCAGCAGCGACATGGCACCTATGAATCAAGGTAGCAGGAAGGGAGAGGTTGGGAGCGAGAAAGCTTGTGCACTCGTGAGCCTATGATTTCGTGCTATACGACGACCACCAATTTGGGCGTTCCTCTTGTTTGGCAGGAGCGCATCGTCGATTGATGAAAGAAAATGCTGCTGCTGGCGCTCTTGCAACACAAACATAAACTCTGGCCCGGCCTTTCATTGCGACAATGAACCCGCGAGGCCACTTATGGCCATGTCTAGCCAGTGATTTTGAGGGTCCAAGCCTGAGACCGGTCGGCCCAGGTCCAATCGCGCGGCGGCATCCGGATTTGTCAAGTCCGAGTTCACGAAGATCAGCTCACCGTAGGAGGACGCACGCCGCGAAGTATCGAAACAGCTAAGCAGTCCTGCCTGTCACTGAAATCACGAGGAAGGAAGGAGACACTCCGCGCTCTGTCCGCCGCATGAAAAAGCATGAAAAGGCCAGGCCTCGTCCTTCAACCCAGCTGGGGTGAAAAACTGTTTGGAATCCTATATAGATACAGCGCGTTCTGGTTTATCCACATTTCGCCGGTCTCCATGCATGTCAACATTTGTTGGACATCTCTTGTTGTTGCCGGACGTCAGAGGCAGACCTGCTTACACCGAGAAGTCAAGGTGGTGTGGCAGCACTTTCCAAGCTATGGAGCGTGCTGTGGCAGCACGTCGACTCGATGATAGCGACATCCTGCACACTACACACTACGGGTGGCTGTTTGCCTGCAGAGTCTACAAAGTCTGCCATGCCGTGCCTGGACACGCCCACTCAAACTCCGGACCGTTGGCATTGTTGCATCGCCGGACCCAGCTTCTGATGCACTTCAGGTGGAACCTGAGTTCAAGATGCTTCAAGAATACCGATTGCAAGTCCTCCTGGCCGAGTATCACACGCTGCCCAGCATTGGTCACAGGACCATATGTGGTGGCTCGGCTTCACCTGGCATTGCGCATTCTGTCCAAGTTGCCAAGGCTGTTCAAAACGGACAAGACATGACGAGACAGCAGGCCTTTGCCAGGCAAATCATACAGTCGTACGAACCTGGACCATACATCTCGCCAGAACCACAAACTTGATTGTTCACAGCTGCGAGAAACAGAAAGAGCTAGAAACGGAAAGCGAGACAGACAGAGAGCGACAGGATGAGAGAGAGTGAGAAAAACAAATGAAGAGAGGTGAGACCGATAGGAATAGGAAGATATGCCTCTCGACAGCCATGTGCCTCGAGAAAGCTGATCCGCAAGTCGCTCTGCCACCTTTTCGCAACATGGCCGCATTCACAACTTTTCGGCCGGCAGCAGTCGCAGAGACGCATCCTCAGCTTCTTGCAGTTCCAGTACTGGAGCCGTAGCGACGAGGCTGGGATTGGCCAGATGCCTCCGCAGACAAACAGGTGGAGCACACGTTCGACCCCAGACTTCGGACCAGAAAACCCCACGTGGTGCAATACGATGTTCAAGGCGCATCAAGCGCAAGCTGCCGAAACTTGTCCTGAAGTTGCCTTCGGAAGCATCTCATGTGTGTCGCCCGCCAGATCCACGGGCGTATCGCAGGAGCGACCTGCGTTGCTTGCAGTGCTGTGGCGCCCTGCGTGCCCATCAGCAAAGGCTAAGGCAGCTGCTGAAATCGCTTGCACTTCCTTTGCCCTTGTTCCTGCTCTTGCCTTTGCCCTTGCCTGGCAAGTCAGCCATGATTGAGTACACCGCAAGTCCAACACGCTGCTTCGCTGTGGCCTTTGGAGCTTTTCCTGCTCTCCCCTGGTGCACAGACAGGTGTGCATAGTGTTCCAGGTGTAGACTTCCTCCAAAATGCGATTCTTTGCAAAGCCTTGCGACTGCTGTGGCTGTGGCTCGGCGCTGGCCGCCTGACGGAAGTCTGGCTCCGGACCGCTGGGGGACGAGACCTTACCTTCAGTTCGCTAGCCACCAAGGTCCTCGAAGAATCCCACTCTCGTCCGTTTGCGTAACTCGCAGTCGGGTAAGCTTGCCTCATCTGCCTGCCTGTGCGGAGCATCCGCCGGCACCCAACGGGCACCACCTGCAAGAAATTCGCCGTTGTTGCGGCTTGCACAGACGGTCCAAAAACAAGTGCAGATTTGTCAGAACCTTGTTGTTCAGAGCTTCTGTGGCGATGAGCCCTGCTCCTCCAAGACGGTACAATCAGACACCATGCCTGGCACGGCAAGAATCCTGCACATGGACTAGATTGCGTGACGTCCTGCGGCTGTAACGGCCGGAGCTGTTTCCTGCTGAGCAGCACGGCAGGAGGAGGGATGGCGGGGCGGTCAATCTCCAGAAAGCTCATTGGTGCAAACCAGACCCTATCCCATCCTTAGCGTCACAGGCAAATTATGAGGTCGTCAACGATTGTAAGGAGCGCACACTCGCATCATGGCTAATGTCTACTGATCTGCAGCATCACACTTGCAACGACATACAACGAGGGATAACAGTATATGCAAGTTTTGCGCTGCATGTTGATTCGAAGAATGCTAATTCCAGCATCTAAGACATCAAAACCTTGGCCAGTTTGTGGTCCCGAACTCCTTCAGGGCCAAGCGGTGGCTCCAACCTCAAGGCAAGCCAGATCACACGGACAGATTTCAGAAACCTTTGAAAGGCAGCTATTCAGGCGACGACATCGAAAACGGCCGCGGGCCGGAGCTATAAATGAACTAGAAGGAGGAATGGGAAACTGACGAGTCTAGGAGTATCTAGAACTCGGCAACAACCAGACATCAAATTGCCGAAGCGAGACAATTCAGACCTGAGTGTGAAATGACCAACTGCATGTAATGTCTTCGACTTGGACCCAAACTAGCGGCAAGTACTACAGCTACAGTTACTGCAGTTTCCCAACATTGCACAGCAGTATGACATGAGCAAACAGCTCGACGCACTGGCCTGTTGTTCTCTCATGCGGAGACTCTCGTAGCAGCTCGGCAAGCGAGTCAATGCCCATAAAACTTGAAAATGTGAAATAAATCACTTGGCCGCACGATCGGAAGGAACGCGTCGTTTGACGATATCGATGCCAACGCCGACACGTGTGCAGAAAGAGAGCTTCGCCGGATCTCGCAAGCTCTGCCATGCCTTGGACGAGCTCGGCTTTGGCCAGGAAGGCGAGGTGCTCCGTCATGTCAGGAAGGCAAGCTCTTACCAGCAAGTACCTCGTCCATTTGCAGCACAAGGCGGCACCATGTGCAGCTAAGTCTACAGTGCAAGCGCTTCGCTCTGTAAGCCTACTATAAAAATGAAGCTGAATCTAAATCAAAACATGGTTTTCACGGCCGAAACTTGTGGCCGACTAGAATGAGGCTGACATTCGATTCTCGGATCTCTCAGTAAAACAGAATTTTGGGGAACCGTTACAGAACTTTACAGGGGATCCTTGCCAGGGGATTTGCCGGGGGTCGTTCGTCGTTCTGAATCCCTTACCGGAAGCCCTAACAAGCGCGAGCTCAAGAGCCCACAAGGTGGCGCCCTAGCCGCCGCTGCCGGACATGTGGTTATCTTACATCTCTTGCGGCGTTGGTTAAAGGACCTCTAGTTCGCGTACATGTAACGATGGGAATCTCTCAGACTCCACTCATCACATGTCTTAAGCACGCCCCCTCATTTGGCGATTCCGGTTCATCATAGATCTCATTTGCTAAACCCACCCCCAACTTTTCACCGCGGCAAGGCTAAGAAAGAGACCGGAGGGGGTTGCGGACCCGCAGGACCAGCGGACCAGAGACCAGGACCAGAGGACCAGGGGCCTAGGCCTACTAGTACCCTACCAAAGGCCCCAGACAAGAGCCAAAGTTAGGAAAAAAAGCAGGGCTCGAATCCCCAAAGCTGTGAAAAACCCAAATCATGCCATCAGAAAATCACCGCCTAGCCATACCTGTGTGGACCAGGCAGCATCGGGCAGCTGTGGTCAAATTTCTCGGTACCGTGTAGAGGGTGAAGCTGATGCTGCTTGTTCCAGGTTTCGCACACTTCGAGCAGCCGTTCGCGGGGATGATGTACAGGACGGCGCTGGAGTCGAGGGGATCCTGTAGGACACGGTCGGTGGAATGGCTTGGAAACCGATCTGGAATGGCTGTATAGGTGTCCTCCACTGTGGGCTCAAAGTGGTTGCAGCCGGCAGTTGCGTCCGGTAGACAGGGACGGGAGTGGGAGGATTGATTGCGACAGGGTGCTGCAATTGAGCATTGTGATTTTCGTAGCCGGCTGCGCCCACGGGCCAGAAAGCTGTCATCTCCCGCCAAGGATCATCCGTTGCAGGTGTTGCAGGACGAAATGTGCGATTGTAAGCATTCTTCATGAGGTTCAGTCGGCTCTGAAACGTGCTGAAGCTCCAGAGTGCGACTTCAGTCGGAGCAAGATTTGCATTTTTCAAGACTCTGATGCACAGACTTGGTGTCCCCAGCTCGTGCAGCGACAGCACTGGCGATAAAGTCAGCAGCTCGTAGCTCAAACCATCATGTGGCCTGAGCGCTTTGGAAAAAACTTTGGCATCCTCTATCATGTTCCGCGCCTGCATTGCGCGCTTCAAAAACTCGTCCTTCGATGAAGTGCTGGACACCATGTCCTCTTCCAACGCACGCAGGTATCGTCTGGCCCGTTCCATTTCGAGTGGTGAGCACGCCCGCTCGGCAATGATGCCTTCGAGACAGCATCATTTCCAAGACGTAACTCTCAAATTCACCCGGCAGTCCAACTCTAGACAAGAGCACGAGAAGCAGTCCGAGCCTCTGATGGCGGCGTTGGTGGACTCGTCGTTTGCACCTCCCGAGACTATAACTGAAAATTCGCATCGGTTGCAGGCAGTTTCGGGGTGTGAACGTCAACTTGAAGCCCGTTTAGCCCCTCGCTTCCGAAAGATGCGACGGACTTGTTTGCCGTCCCTTCCCTCGCGGCGGCGGCCGCCGGGCTTGCCGCATCGCTTCCATTGTCATGCCAATCTTGTCGGCTGCGAGCTTGCCTACTTGCCTGTCCTTCTGACATGAAGAACTGAGAAAATCTGGGGACAGACTTGGACTCTCAACATCTAGAACTTCGACCGGGACTAGAAGCCCAAGGCGTTGGAGTGCAAGAGTTTTGAAGGAAGCCGGGAGCCTTCCTCTGCACGGCCACTGAACAGGAGGGCTTGTACCGTTGGATCCGGCTTGGTGAAGACGAAGAACCTGCCCGACAGCGCCGATGTACTGCCAGTTGAGAGCGTGAGGCCGCAGAAGAACGCAAGCAGCACTTTACTTGACATGCGCTTCAGTGTGCTCGGCATGTGAGCCTCGAAGAATGACTGAAAAGAAGCAGGCACAGGCTACGATAGAAATGGCATAATATCTTCGCCTGAAAGACTGGCCGAGCACGACGAAGTCCTGATGCAGCAGCTCTTTCGCTTCGGCGCGAACGAGTCGTGTGCCGTTGACCTCGGGGGAGGGCGCCCAGGCTTGTTGTCCAGAACTTGACGACTGGGTTCCACCCACCGCCTGCATTAATCTTTCCAGAATCTTGCGGCTTGTTGACATCCGTTGTGAGTCTTGCTATTCTTAACCAACATTTCCTATCTCCAGTGCCCTGCGCACCCAGGTGGTCAAATGAACATCTCTTGGAATATCTGTGCCCCAAAGAGGGGCAGGTCGAGTCCAGGCAAACTGCAAAGCCAATGATTGCTGTACCCCTCCTGCCAGGTGCAGGCTGTGAGCCTCAATGGCGGCCGAAGGCAGAAGAATAATCCCCAACGGCTTGAGGAAAAGGCGCCCCGACTCCTGATGGGAAGTACTGGCCCCGCACTGCACAGGTTGAGACCAAGAATACCGAATCAAATTAAGCTAGATGTCCTTGCACAGCAGTCTGTGCTGGGAGAGCATTCAGAACGGATTCAGACCCAAGAAAGCAGAGGTTGCTCCTGCATATTCCTGCATCCTTCTGTACTTGTGATGCTGGCGCCCATGGAACGAAAACACGCATGTCGACGTCTGGCAGAGTCTGATGTTGGCTTGGTCCCATGACGAAACAAAGTTATCAGATTTCCCTTGACAAGGTTTTTCTGAAATTGGGAGAGGCAAGCAGGTCAGTCACAGAAAGTCGCGACAACATATCTGCACACTACATTGACGGGTAACGGACCGGTAATACAAAGCTAGGCCTCAGCATCGAAGTCGGAAAAGCACTATGGGCGGGAGGCTGTGTCCAAGAGCTTGCCAAGAATTTCTGGAGTACTACGACACGTCGATGCTTACGAGGGTGCTGTATTGAAACCCTTGTCCTGCCAAATGAGGCATGTCTCTGGACCTCGGCTGCTATGGTCAAAGGCTCGGCTGCAAGCATTGTTGGGCGAAGCGCATCGGCAACCTTTTGGGAAACCTGAATGAGATCGAGACCAGCAAGCATGAGCCAACAACAGGACAGGTCATGCATCCGAGCGGCAAATGCCTGGTGTCTGTGGTAGTTGAAAATCACACCGGGATGAACCTAGGCGCTTCAAGCCAATTCACTCGCTTCGAGGATCCCCTCTCTGCTGCTAAAGCACATCCCAGGACGTAGCGCCGCCCTGCACAGGAGAGCACTACCACAGAAGCTTGTAGCTGCACCTGGCACGGCTGGTTCCACTGCCTTCTTCTTCAGCATGAAAGATAAGTCGGCCGCTGAAGCTGGGATCTTTGGAATAGATGACCAAGCCTGGCACGACACAAAAACACACAAAACAATCGCGGTGTGCAAAAACAGGTCTCAACCCGAAACCCAAGTTGGAACTTCTTCGAGCCGAGAGTCTCGGTATCGGTGGCCACCTTGTGCTATGTTGAGACAACGAAACTCGCGGGCCGATGCGATAAGCACTCGTCGAAAGCAAAACACGTTGGCTTCAGGGAACTAATGCAGGCTGGCTGCATTGGACCTCAGCTTCTGGTGACACGTCACAGGTTCAACATGTTCCCCGATGGAGCCCATGTGGACAACTCGTGAGCTGATATTTCAAAATCTAGCCCGCACAGATAATCCAACCCCTAAGTAGCATGCGACTCCAATGCCGCCATCAAGATCAATAGTCAATAGTCAATACGCCACCCCCTAGTCACAACAACGGCCCACCCAGACTATGAGAGCATGTGTCCATCTCCTCAGTGAAGCAGTGGCCCGTGTGGACTCCAGTTGCGCAGAAAGGACAACAGCTTCCATCTGAATTGCAAAAAAGCAGCTATCTGATGCGGCCGGTGTTCGCCAGTGGCTTAACCATGCGCCCATTTCTGCAGAGTTCGTGGATACCGACTGCTGGTATCGCATGCTTTCTACTTGGGAAGCACCAGTTTCAGGCAGCCTGTGCTCGCTTGGCTCGTGCGGGTCGAAGTGCACTTCGAAGCTCTCTGGGCTAACCGGAGAAGCTCCGTTCGACTGCGTGCCTTGTGAGGGAGGCGTGCCCTGCAGATGCAGCTGCTCGATCGCGGCGTCTGCTCGCGCTTCATCTCGGAGCTCGTTCTTCACTGTGGCTCTCGCAAACCTCCATCTCGATATTGCAAGATTTTGCAACGCATCATCCTTCTGCCTTCGCAAGAGATCTGCATTCTTCTGCGCCTCTTCCCATCGAGCCTTGTAGCTCTCCATCATGTTGCGAATGAAGCCTGCTTGAGAATCGAGATCTTGCGCATTTCTCGGTGTCGCGCTGTTCAGCTGATCTTTCAGACTTCGCAGCTCTTCGTTCAAGCTTTGGATAAGAGAGTCCTTGTCCACCTTCGCAACACGCTTTGCAGTAACCTTGATGCTCTTAACGGTGCTCGCAAAGTTCAGCGTGACATAGCTTTCATCTAAGTTGACCGCTGCAGGACTTAGCGTTCCCAACAGGCATGTTTTGGAGTTGCCCGTGAGTGCATTGGAGAGCAGCAAGGTGAGCTTGGAGTTTCGGAATCGAGCTCGGCTCGAGCCATCAACTTCGTCTGAGTTCCCGCGCTGACGCGCTTGCCGTCCAAGCCCTTGTATGCACGGGGCAAGCCACATTAAGCTTCGATTGATGAATGTGAGCTCTACGAAGTTTTCACCAGTTACTTTCGTAGTCTTCTCGTTCTCTCTCCCTGCCAAATCTACGCAGAAAACCTCAGAGGAGACCATTGTGTGAGCTTCGTGCTTTTCCATTAGAAGCCTGAATAGAGTATGCCCACGAGAACTTGTAGCATTTCGCATCGTGGCTGCGACGCTTGCCCTCGAAAGCCCGGTTTCCAGCAGTTTTTGAAGTTGCTCCAGAGTCTCAATCTGCACATCGGTAGCACCATCAACATAGACCCCCACCTTTGGATGCACATGAATCTCTGGCGCCTTGGCTTTTTCCTTGTCCTCGAGCAGATCACGAACTTTCTCGTTGTAGACTTCCAGCATCTGCGCCCGGCACTGCACCTGACCACCCAAGCTGCGCAAGGATTCCACCTCTCCGAACAGGTCCCGCAGGAGCCGGGGCAGCAGACCCTGCTCCGGCTCACTCTTCTTGCCCATGAAAGAGAACGTCTTTCCACTGCCGGTCTGGCCGTAGCAGAACAGGCACGTATGATATCCGGAAATGGAATGCTGCACCATTCTGCGCCCTATCATTTCGTAGCACTTCTCCTGCGAAACGTAGTCCGGCTTGGAAGCATCAGTGCTGTCCATCGCACAATCGAATGCGAAGTCCTTCTTCTTGTCAGGAAATTCTCCGACCACGGAGATTAGCTTCCCGGAAGCGGTAAGGCATTGCTGTCGCGATTCGTAGCCCAGAAAGGGCCGCAGCCTCACGCCAACGAACACTGCCTCGTCCGTCTTGTCCATCACGAACAGTACCAGAGCCTGGAAAATAGCCTATACCATTGCAACGTTCAAGGCGAGCGATGGAAACATGGAAATGCTTTACATGGACATGTGCCGTGTGGTGCTGCGTGGAAGACAGTCAGTCAGTGTGTCTGTGTGTAGGCGTGTGCGCGTGTGCGCTGGGGCTGCTAGCTTCGGTCATCCCCAGTACTCTGCTGCTGATCACGGCCGATAGTTACGCAGATAATTTCCGAAACATCTCATCGACGGATAATGTGTTGGCTATCGTGCTGTCAGCAAACTTTCAAACTGCTTTGGAATCAGACTGTGTAGCCAGGAAGGGCTCGAATGAAAGTTCTTGGTAAATGCATCGTCATCATTTGTAGCAACAAAGCAACAACAGTGCACTGGGCAGTGCGATCCTTTCCGAAACTCAACCACAAATGTTTCGCGCACACTCGGTGGTTATGCACCAAGATCCGCGTGAATTCTTAATTGCAGGCATTAAGTGCCCATGCGCTCAGGCTGTGAGGCTTTACGACCGAGTGATGTCCCAGGTCAGAAACTTGGCCATCAATGTGCCTGCTTGAAGTAAAATAACATCCTATAATTCTATTGGCCACCTCGACATTATGCATCTGCGAGGTCAGATAAGAAGCTGTTCCAACAGACATCACAAAACGGACCACGCAGCGGAAACGGGCAGTTACGCACTGACGTCCTGACCGTACGGTACACTATGTCATTACGCAGCTAGCTGCGCCCGTCCTTGGACATTTTGCCTCCGGGATTTAAAGAAACTTTTGCCGGCAATGCAGAACGGTGAGCGGCTGGATCTACGGAACCGTGAAACAAGCACTCCTACGCGATGGAGCAAACACCTTCCTCTTCGTCGGAGGAGCCATCCCTGTAGCAGACTGGGTTGTTGCAAGACAGCGGAGTATCTGGCATGAAGCGCTAAGACTGAGAGGCACACTCGCTAGCATCTTCGCCTCAGAATCCCACACATGGCATCAAACTATGCCACTTGGTCGACCTGAATCCCTCGAGGTCTTGAGCAGGCTTTATGGATGCACGTCGGCAAGCTTAGGCTGGCACTTCGCCCACGAAACCGGCTCCGCTCATCATCCTCACCCTGTCACATTCAAGAGATGACAACGTCTCACCCTACTGGGTACTGTTGACAACATAGACATGCTTGACTATGCTTGTGCGATCTTGCAGCTGCACTTGCACGTGGACAGGCAGTACAGTGCTTTTGCGCTGCCCCTCTCACCCTTCTCCGTCACGAAGGCTCCGGGACAGTGACTTTCGAAACTTTCGGGGTATGATGGTCCTCTGCAAATGATGCTATGAGCGCTCTGGAGGGGCTGGGCCGGGTATGGCCGGGCTGGGCTCTGCACCTCGCAGGAGCAAGGATGTCTTGGGCCCATGCCGCACCTGAGTGCCAGGTGTGGGCTCTTCAGTGCAGCGCCACCGTCAGAAATACTCGCGTAGTCGCTTAGCCAGGGTGAGGACTGCAGGCCACCACAGGAGATGACGTCCTTCCAACGCCGATTTCTTCTCACCTGCCAGTCTGTAACTATCTGCCACTGAGTCTGCCTGGCGTGGCACCAGCTTATGGCGGTTTGCCTCCGACCAGATCTGTGTGTGAGCTTCCGTCCACTCGATGATCTCGCCTACAACCACGGAGGTGTCGTCCACTTTTCCACCTCCAAGAGCCCGAAAGAGAGAAGGCATACACGAAGCTTATTAAAGGCTTATTAGCTGCGCTTGGGCTGCGAGGCAGCCAGGCCTTTTCCAATGGGAGTGTCGAGGAACTGCCCATTGACGCAGTCGGACTTAGCGTGGGACTCCTTCACGATGCGTTGAGCCGCCTCCACCGGGACGACTAAGCAAGACTGCGCGGAACTGGGAAGCAGCTGCAAGCTACTGGTACTATGTCGCGACACGTGGCTACAAGCGTCTCATCGGGAAAACTCTGGAAACCATCAGCATGATCGAGAGATGAAGCGGACACAGCATACAAGGGTCCAAGATCCTTTGAGTCTTTGCTGCTTATCTGAGTCACTGATCTGCGGCTTTTGCCGCCTGCATGCATGCATGCATCATACATACTTACAAACACACATAGATACATACATGCATAAAGTACACGTGCCGTGCAAAGTGTCCGTCCTCTACCGACGTACGCTGGACATCCCCAATGTTCAGACAACATCTGATCGTCTGCGAAAGTTTCTCTCTTGTCATGAAAGAAATGCTGAGTGTCTCAACAATCCGCGGAATTCGTGTTCAACAAACCCGACGAGGAGGTCAAGTGCAGGAATCAGGCTCGACGAGCTCAGAGAATCGTTGCCTGGCTCAGGTATTGTGCTGGCATCGGTGAGAAGTGGTTGGCCGTCGGTGCCGGCAGGATTTCGTTGCAGATCTCGCAGGGCAGCAATGCCAGCGAGACACAGACAGAAAGGGTAGAGCATGCCACATTCGCGGCCCCGCCCACCATCTCACAAGACTCACACCTCCACGATCTCATCCAAGAAGAGGTTGTCAAAGACCTCAGCATCATCATGTCATGAACTGGACATACTCCAGAAACTCAGCTGCGTCAGCTGAAGGTTTTTTATTACCCCTGTGCTTGTGCCGGCCTGGGCAAATTTCTGTGCCTGGATTATTGGATCTTGCTTTGCACATGTGTTGGCTTCCCGGCGATACTCAATCCGGTGGCCGACAGTGGGATATCTTCTCACAAGCAAATCTGGAATGATTGCACCGTTTGAGCGTGGCCTCACGGGCGTCCTCATCTGTCAAATCTGCTTGGAAGAATAGCGCTTCTAAGTGTCCAACAGACTGGGGACACTAACGCCGTTCGCTTGTTTGACATTGTTTTTCTGGTATCGATGCGCCCACTATGCGTTGCTGTCATGGACTCACTGATTGCAACATATGCAGAATTTCTCTGTCGGCTCGAACTAGGACCAGTTGGCTCCTCTCTCCCTTGCAGCTCGCTCCTTCAGAGACAGGCACGCCATCGCTGCCCAGAATGAGCACCTCGCAACAAAGCCACTCGAAATCACTCGACTTGACATGCATTCTGTGCAGGCTGTCGTCAGATTATGTCCGCTCAGATCCTGGCATCACCTTCATACGCGGAAACGCAATGCACGGCTGAGCCCTTCTCGATGACCTCCGCGACTAAGAACAAATCCGAACTTGGGTGCCGCCCTCCAAGTTGGTCGTGAGCTGAGCGAGGTTGTGACTCGAGCGGCGCCGGATAGCAGCTGGCTGCTTGCATTAACAAAGATCTTCACCACACAAAAAACTATGCCTTCCGGAGCAGCTCTTTGCCGAGCATGCTCCAGTAGACCGGGATCAGTGATCGTGCAATCCAATTGCGTGCAATACGGCTGCGAATTGCAAAACAGCGCTGCCGATGCCCAAAGGTTGCTGGTGCCGGTGCCAGCATGCAGGCATGATCATTGCCACATGTAACGGGAACTCAGAGCACCGTGCCGTCTTCATGACCTGGCAAGTACATGCAATGTCACCGGACATCAGCTGCCGTGAGACATGACCTTTGCTCTTCGGTGGTCTGCAGTGGCAACGATGTTACGCCATGCTAGTGAAATTGTCAAACGACTGACCGATCCACGACACCGTTGATCGCTTCATTCAGATGACAGCATTAATCATTAGATCTTCTCCAAGGCGCAGTGCTCATGAAAAAGAGCATCCAAAGAGAGGTTGTAGGACTCTGCTTTATCGATGACAGCCTGGCTCGTGTCCCCCCATTTGCAGCAATGATACATAGCAATGGAGATCCGCCTTCCACATCACACGGAGCTCTCCCATCTCAGCTGCGTGCGCGCGTCGAATGGCAGCGACCTGAAACCAACTTGCGTTTGAGTCGAAGAAGGTTGGCACTGCACCTCACATCTCTGCACCGAACGCAACTCACCGTCCAGCCATCCATACCCGGCTCGCACTCCGCGCTGCTGTCCCAAGTGGCCCATCTTCTTCCGTTTTGCGTGTCATGTCTCTGGTACAAAAAAATAGGCGTTCTGTGGCGTTCTGGTGCAAGTGCTGTCAATGCATGAGAGACCGCAGTACATGCGCCCACTTTGCTCCCTTCAAGCCCCCTACAAGGTACGTGCACAAATGTGGCTCCGTTCTCGTCCCCGCCTACAGGCCTATAGGTACATGCACTATGGAAGCCCGAGAAATCCTAAATGATCGCAAATGCACCTCGGCTTCCAGTTCAAGACGTTGCGACTGTAGCTGGTGAAGCTGTCGCTGCTCCTCGCTATATACCGCTGTTTAAGTACAGTTCTGGCCGTTTGCAGGTGCAGCAGGCAGCCTCTGACCGCTTTGCTTGCAGTTCTTGGTGCTGCTGCAGAGCTGCTTGTCGCCGGACCTGGCCGGCTCCGAACAGAAGGATCCGCCGCCACCCAACGCACATGTGCGCCTCATGCTTCAATTACTGTGCCCCATCCCCGCTCGGGGCTTCGGCGGTTCGGTGTGGCTATATGATGGCACATCCTACTTGCAACCACTTGCAGACTTCACACACTCGCAAGGCAGCACCTCTTCAGGTACACGTGCAGGAACATTGGATCCACACAGGTGGCTCCACAGGTGGATAAAAGAAGACAGCCCTGCACTTCTCGAAACTGCAAAACTCGCTGCAACAAGGCTGAAAGTGTCGGGGATCTCCATGCTTCTGCCGCGAATTCAAAACCGACGACGACGACGGGCGGCTTCCCGCTGGCAATTTGGATTTCCGACATGCCCGACCACTGCGAAATCTGGCACTGGCAGCGGGATCATGGACATTGTATACAGTGCGCGCTGCAAAATAAAGGCGCATCCTTTGTACCACAGCCAGACTGCAGCTTCCTCGCACTGGTGAGTGCAAAGACGGAGCTCCCGAGGTGCACCTCCAACTGCTCCATGCGTTCAGCATGCACCTCGCAGGACACTCACCGCTCAAGAGAAAGCTACACTTGGAGCTCAGTGTGCCTGCTTGGCTCTCTCGTTGTCCGCCACAACACTTTTCAAGGACCTCACCACAGTTTCCGAAGTACTAAACCCTTACTATACATATTCCTCACGTGCGGGGACCGGCTCTGGAAAACATCAGTTCTCAAGCAGCTGCTCGCAGACCCTCACCATGCTGATGTTGCTTCGTCAGCACATCTGAGCATCGCACTGCTCGAGCTCAGTGCCGTCTTGCTTGGTAGCCTGGTGTGGCCGGCACCCACCATTGGTGAGGGTGAAACGGTGATTCGTCGGCTTATGGAACCCACTCCAACTTTCGTCTGCGTTCTTGCAGACATTGATTGGGCTCTCTTAAGCCGCCGAATTGTGGGGCGGGGAACCATCAAAACGTGCAAAGTCGCTGTGCAGACGTATTCGGGCCAAGGAGAAGAGAAAGGGCATTGAAATGATGAACACCCCGGACGGCCTCGAGAGACTGCCGCAGGTTTGCTAAGTCTTCTCTCGCGGCAGCTGCACGCTGCTTGGCATTCTCGGCGTTCGCTGCAACACTTCCGACACCTGGGAAAGACACGCACACTCCCGTCACCTGGCGGCAACCGAGCAAAAAATGCAGGGTACTTCCGAGCTCTGAGTCCTGGGCGGGTCAGCCTGAGCACAAAGCTTTCAGATCAAGGCTAGCGTTGTGCACTGGCGGCCAGCTCAAGACAAGCGGCTCATCCTTGTAGCTCTCAAGATGTCTGAGCAGCCTTCACAGCAGTTGTTTGAAGAGCGCAATGTCTTGCATCAGGCATGTCCAAGCCTGCAGACAACCTGATCTCGCTGAGAATGCGCCCTGCGCTGGTTGGCTTTTTCCTCTAGCACTGCCTCCCAAGCACCAGTAGGTTCGGATCAGTGTCTCGGCGTGGAACAGTGCAGTACGGGTTGGATGTCTCGCAGACGTATTCGACCTCTTTTAAGGAAGAGTTGAAAATGGCCGGCTGCAAACCGCAGTGAAGGTACGAAAGGCTCATGTTGCTTGGTTTGCCGGTTTGCCTTGCCTTCAGCTGGCACACACCACTCTTCAGCTCTTCGATCTCCTCGCCGAAGTGATGTCAAGACTCCGCCAATGCTGTTTGCAGAATTGCCTTCTCCAAGCCCTCGGGGCTCTCAGCAATCTGGCTCTGCAGTGCAGTGACCTCCCGGCAGGCTTAGAGCAAGAAGACTTTCCGCATATGCGCGCTCACGCCCCAGCGACCCAGGCCTGCTCCCGCAACTGCTCAATGCGCTGTTCTCCTTGCCGGACTCGCTCCTCCCAGCACATCACTTCGAAACCAAAGGGCGATCGGTTGCCCAACATGGCCAACCTTTACAGATGTTCGCTTTCTTTCTGCATCTTCCACAACCTTGACAGCAGTGCACTGCGCACGAAAGCGTCGGTGACACACCGACGATGTTGACGCACGGGAGCCCCGGAAATTACTGCCTGCACGTCATGCACTGCACTGTACCTGCAGTTCTCCGAGGGCGGGGCACGGTCTGCAGAGTTGCGTTGTCGTGTGAGCTTGTCGTTGATGGCCTTCGCCTCTGCAGCCTCCGATTTCCCTCGCTATGCAGCCCGAGGAGGCTCAAGAAGGCCCTTCAGCGCCTCGTTCTCGGCAGTCCACATGTCTTGCAGCTCAGCGTTGTGACGCTCTTGTGCAGCAGAAAGCTCTGCATCAACCTGCAGTGCTTATACCGTAAACCGGGTTATGAGCCTTAAGCTGAAACGAAGCACCACTTGCAAGCAAGACGGAGACGATGCCACAATGCCGGGCTGTGTGTGGCTGGCACATACATAGCACATGCACGTGCTGTTGCAGAGACCAAACCCTTTCATGCCGTCATGCCCAAGCCGAGAATCAGGACCTTGGCACCTTGGGCAGGGAATGCCTTGTCGTCTACTCGAGCCTTAAGGCCTCTTGGGCTGTTGACCAGAGCTCCTGACTCGCAACTTTGCTGGTTGTAGGCACTGGCCCGACCCACAAGTGGGTGCTTTACCTTGTTGACTGTTCCTTCACGTGGATCAAGTTGTTACGCAACGGGTTCTGGCAGGAGCATGCAGGAGCCACGACTTTTTTGTTGTGGTGCTGGGGTGTGGGTTTCGGAACATTACCTGATGTTCGTGACTTGCGTCCTCGTGCATTTTTGGGGGTTGTGTGTGAGTGTGAGTGTGTGTGTGTGTGTCTATTTGTTGGCTTACAGGCTTCGAAAACCTTGCAAAGCAAAAGTCGTCTCAAGAGAATCCTCGTGCTTCCGGAGCAGAACCCGGCTGGCGGATTTCTTCAAGCTAGGGGCACCTCCATAAAATAAGGAATTTGTTGTGCAGGGTCTATGTCGAAAGCAGGGAATCAGTGACTCGACTCTCGAATGGGGTGTCTATAGATAAGATAACTCAACTGCTTAGGGCTCTAGCGATTTCCAAGAGAGCATGAAATCCTGTATGCCAAACGTAGAGGGTCTGGCCAGCCCCGGACACTGAAGCTACTCTCCTTTGCAGGAGTTAGAGTGATGAGAGCTCGGGTTGGGGGATGGAGATTTGAGAGTGAAGGATCCAGGGATTGGAGTTCGGGGGGTCCGAATTTGTGTTCCGTGCTGCGCCAACGGTCAGGACGTGTTACAGTACGCGAACGCTGGGATTCCTAGAGACCATACCAGTTTTCAAACAACCATAAATTACAAACTAAATGGATCTCATATAATACAAATGGGGCTTACAAGCAATACACAAACAACTATTGCGTGTGATTGGTACATAGAAGAGTTACGTAAAGCTATCATATTTTCGCTTGGGACCTAAATGAATGATAGATTGCCTGATGCTTACAGCTGGATTCGCATGTCCCAACAACTGGGCCTGGTTGGTGGTGCTGGCGTTGCAAAAGAGGATTTGTTTTTTCAACATGATACCGGATCTGGTGAATTTGGTAAGGCGAGCTATCAATGTTCGGCGTTAATGCTGCATTCGGATGATGGCTTTCCACCATATTAGATAGAAGTTCAGCTGACATAACTACATTGTGAGGCAGTGATACAGGCTCATGCGATGGTGGGGATACGAATCATGATGACGCTTATTGAAGTGGTCTGGCCAACAACCATAGAATTCTTGAGGGTGTTTGAATGTGTTGGTGATCAATATCGAAAGGATACTAAGCAGTACCTAGTATGAGTATTCGTGTTTGGATGGTGTGGGTGCATAGATGATTGTCTGGTGTGGTAGCATTTGTGGATTGCTTGGTGTAGCGAAAAAGATTTTGGGCAACCCTTGGTATGGTTATTCGTGCTCGGATGGTCGGTTTACAGTCAGCACTTAGTACGACCGTTTGAGATTGAACGGCTTGGTCTAGTAGTCAAGGGTTTAAGTTAGAGGCAATCGTAAGCATGATGATGTGTGTTTGGATTGTACAAGGATTCTAGGCAATACTAAAGCATGAACATTCGAGTTTGGATAATGTGGGCTGCATTCAGTGAAGTGGGTGTCTTTCTTTACTTATTGTATTTGTTGTTTCTTTATTCCTGTCGACCGTTCTATATCTCTTGCTTTCTTTCCTCCTGTCGTTTTTTCTCGATTTTTTTTGCATTCTTGAAACCCCTCGCAGAGCCTGCCCCCCGGTTCGGGTCCGAGCTGTCGGAGTGTTGGCTAGCCACCAGGGCTTAACTCAGGTGCACGGCATGTGCACTTCAGCCCTCAACAGCCACATGCCAGAACGGGTAGTGTCTTCTGTGTTGGGTGTTGGGGTCGGAGGATGGAGGGGAAGAAGAAGATTAATGTGCACAGAAAAAGAAGTAACGAAAGAAAGATACGGTGAACGACACCGTGCGGTTTTGCTGCTGTTTGTTGTGTTGTTTCTATGAACGCCACAACTGCCCCTAAGCTTAGCTGCAGTTACGGGTCATCGTGTACGGGGGAGTAGAACAGACCGTGACATGAAGCATCAAATCAAAGCCTGGTTCAGCTTGTCCACCATTTCCAATCTCGTAGAGTCCAAAGCTTGCACGTCCTTCAATGTCGCCAAAGGCATGAAACTGTCTGCGAGCAGCCCGGTGCGATGCGTCACTGCGCCACTCCTCCTTCATGCCAGTGATGACTACCACCTTCGCCTCACCAACGACACTTGATCGACGGACGATGTGGCAGCCACAACGCCGGCGCTCAAACCCGCTCCTCTTTATACCGGCAGAAGTTGATCATGCCACCTGATGGATAGAAGGGTCTTGCTACCGACCAATCGGTGCATACAAAACCATTCAGCCGGCCATAACAGACACGGCCGAATCAAACAAATGACCCGAGGTTTTGTGCAGCCACGTGTCTGAGCAGCGCTCGAAATCGCTTCGGCACTGGATCCCAGAAGTCCTTTCGGAAAAGACTCGGAAATATGCAAATCATGCAATGACAGCAGTGTCAAAGACTTTTTGAGTCGACTTGATAACAGCATATAACCGACGGATTCCTGCAACGCATCTGCCTTCATCTTGTGAGCAGATTGTCTTAGCCTTCCACGTGACCGCCACCGCCCCCAAAGAAGCTTCCACCCGCGGTGACGGTATCGCACGTCGCTAGGTTGGCACCTTCTCCTAGTAACCTGAAGCAGTTCACCACCGGAACCCAACGGCACGAGCTGGGCAAAGACAAGCTTCCGCTCAAGAATCAAAGGCAACCGGCAGCCGAGACACAACTTATGCTACGAACATCTAGCGACGTTCGACCGCAGCGAGGCCTTGAAGTTAAAGTCGTCCACCAGATTTATCATTGCGAGCTGCCTTTCGTGCTTCAACAGCAGCCGCACGCCGCGACTCGAGGAGCGCCGTGCCTTGAGAGTTTGAAGATGGTCAGGAAATCCATGGCCTCACAGCGAAGCGCCCATGCAGAGGCTGCAGCCAGAGGATGAATCAGTATGAATCAGTCACGTTCCTGGCCTCGTCATAGATCTCTGGGTGAGGTGTCACGGCAGGCATCTGTGCCTTCACTTGTTGGGAGTCCTGCTGTTGCAGAAGTCCAGCAGTCAAGGCTTCACTGCTTTGTCGCTTGGCTGCTGTGGCATTGTTCGATAGCTCTGCTCAAGCGGAGTTGGCTTCCTTCTCTTCGGTGACTCTCCCACATGAACTGCAGCCCTTTATGGTGATTGTCTCGCGGCATCGCCGGCTTGCAAACCCACAAGAAAAGCATGAAGGAGGGAATTCGGCCAGACAAGAAGGGACTGCTCCGGAAAAAGAACGGAGAATCTTGGCGCCGCTTTTTGTCGAGGACCTGCACCGCGGAAGCAACTAGTTCCGCTGGCCGCGGCACAGCGAGGCAGGCATGGCGCATAGACTGTGCCACCGTGCCGCCGCCTCCTGCCTGCACGTACCTCCACCCTTCCCCGACCCTTCGCAGCCACTTGCTCAAGCAGCAGTAGCCCGCCAACCCGCAATAACCCAAAGCCGCTGCTACCCCGTCGGATGGTCGTTCCATGTCATTTTCTCTATGCATGTCTCGAAACGAACAGTTCCTCTGCTGACCCAGCTTATCAGTGAGCATCATGACCTGACGGGATGCTTGCCGGAAGAGCGTCTGCCCACTGTGTCTTGTGTGTTTGTGTGCAGTGGCTAAATATTACGCATTTTGGCGGAGTGCTTTGACTTTGGCGGTCCATGTCATAGGCAAACTCTGCAAGAGCGTTGAAGAAAGCCATGGCATTGTCTGCAGAAGGCCTCCGGGTATCAGCAAATCGACAATGCTCACGGTGACATGGACAAGGGTGCTCTGCTGCCGCCTGTCTATGTTGTCTGCAGCCACGGCTGGATGCACGCCAATCATGTTCAACACCTTAAGAGCAGAACATTCCACAAGCGGCTGGTCTGCTCCTGCATGCAGAAAGGCACCCCGGTGATGTCCTTCGGCGCCAGAATCTTGAAAGCGAAGCCCTTCAGCATGTTGTATGTCCTGGGACTGACAGCTGAGAAAGGATCCACCCAAGCTCGACCTACGACCTGCATCTCCAGTGGGCAAAGCGAGCAGCCGTCCTTCAGTTGAGACCGCCCTTGCTGTTGGAGGTGGTTGCCCCGGGCAACTTGAGCCGACAAGCTGCAGCAGCAAGCATCCGCAAGGCTTGATTTGCTGCATCAGCACATGAGCATGAAAAGTGAGAACACGCCACAGAGGTGCTGGCCTCCAGTGCGATGGACTCATCGAACTCCTTCGAGCAGGCAAATATGGACTTCGAGCGGCTTCTGCAGGGCGTGAAGTGACTGCCCAGGAGCACCATTGACACGCGTGCTCTGGGCGCGTTCGCTGGTCCATGGCGACAGCCCTGGTGCTGGTCCTCGTCGATGCGTTCGTCGACGCGCGCGAGCTGCAACGGCGTCTGCACGTTGTAGTCGATTCGCTGCATCTCGGTGTGGAAAACTGCCTTTCAACTCCAGAAGGCTGCGCCACGCTGCGACTGCTCCCGATGAGCCTCTAATTCAGACTGTCGCCCGTTCGTCCTTCTCCTGCAGCACGGCAGCCACATGCCAAGAACAGACTTCCAGCACGGAAGCCGGTGAGGGCTGGACAGCATCAGCAACTCACAGTCGCCAATCGACAGGACCGCGATCATGGGGTGCAACTGTGCCGAATGCAAATATGAGTGAGATGCCTCCAACACGGCGATCAACCGGAACCTTCCCGTGGATCCTGGTGCTGTTGTCGAGCGCAGCTAACAGGACCGTGGTAGACCTCGCATGGACTCGCGGCTGCTGCTCCGACAGGTCGTACGAAGTAGACTGGGCATCCGACCCATAGCTAGTTGTCTCCTGATACCTTGCTGGCATGAAGGAATTGGTCTCTGGCGTGGATTGTCCGAATGCTGTCCCAAACACGCTTCTTTGAGAAGGGAAATGGGACCTCTGTACCTTGCGGGTGGCAAGCAGCAGCTCACAGTGATTCGATTCTGCTGAGGTCACTGGTCTTGTGGTGCAATGTTTGTGTCGGGCATAAGCTGCAGCATCGCGAGTTCCTCACGCGACTTGACACTGAAATACACTGAAAGGGTTCGAACAGCTCTGAACATGCTTGCTGCCTCACACGTTCGCAACAACTCGTTTGGCAGCAGCGACGGGTCCATTTGAAACTCCTGCAACGCTACAAAGTCTGCAATTGCCGCAGGTGTTGGCGACATGCGAGCCACGTCTTGCTCCTCTAGTTGCGATACTCCGTCACAAACACCCAACAGCATAGGAGAAGTCAGCGTGGCATCGGCATCCTCATGTCATATCTCGTGAAGCTACAGGAAACTGAGTTGGACACCGGCCTTGTAGCCCATTCGAACTTTTGCTGGATGCGGCTGCTGGAATGCCCTCGCGCTGAAGCACAAGGGCTTGTTCTTAGAGTACCTTCAAGAGCTCCAAGAGCACACATCAGCTCACATCGACACGAGTGAATATCACTCACCTCATTCGCGCACTCCTCCGTGTAATGCTGCTCCCTTTTTTGAAACTCTCCGAGGATGTCTTTCTGTCTGTCATGCGAGGCAATTGGCTTTCTGGGTAACATGCTCTGGTTGCCATGAAACAGGCCAGCAGAACTGCACCGTGCCCACAAGGAATGTCGGCGATCGTTTCATGGACTCCATTTCCTCAAAGCTTTGAGGGCTTTAAGCCTTCCGCGCACAACATGTTTGCATCTGAGCCGTAACGGGTATCACAATTCACAACATGTCCGATACCACGACTACCATGCAAAGCAGCAGAAACTACGCCCATGCGCCAAATACAAGCACAAGACAGACATCGGCGCAACTTTTTGAACCACTCGCAGACCAAATACCGCCGCTACCCGGAAGTCGGCACGCGCGCCAGAAGCAGCTGGTCCACTAGTATCTGGGCAGTTTTCCGCGACCTGTCCATGACCTGAAAACAATAGAACAGCATCAAGGATGACAGAACGTGGCATATGCCAATGTACATTGATCGCCTGAGACACCACAATGTTCTTCAGGAAGCGCAGGGTAAATGGGAACTCCTTGCTGAAGTGAGAAATGGCAAAGACCGATGCGCACCAGCGAAGGTTGCAGCACATGCCCCTGAAAACAACATCGGCTGCTCGGCCGGGGCCTTCATCCACATAACCACTGCCCACCTTCTCAATACGAGTCCTCTCCAGAACCACTCAGGGTCACAGCATGGCACAGCGTCAGGCACGAAGAAGCCGGCTTCACACAAGAGCCTTGGCCATGGACTTGAGCCGGTACGATCGCATCCGTCACCTTTCGAACTACTGTCTAGCTTCAGGCGGCCTTTGTTTCGCAAGGCCGTTTGTATGTCGTGGCACCTTCGGGCAGCATTCTCTCGCGCCTTCACTGGACTTGTTTCCGCCATGTTGTGTCAGTGACTTCTATCGGAAGACCAGGGATTCGATGACATTCGTAAAGCTACAAGCCTCCCACACAACTGATATCGACAAAGCGAAATGCAAACTCAACCAACAGGTGGCGACAGTCATGCGTTTCGAGCGGGTCGATGTACAACCACGTCGATCTGTCCAAACTTCGGAGAGGTCTTAATTCGTGCCATTGCTCGGGTGTAGTGTGGTATGTCGTCTCGCTTTACCGGTCTGATCCGGCGACGTCACACTAAAAAGATGCTCCCGCCTGCACTCGGACGTTCTCAGAAAAGGGGACTCCCTCCGAAATGAACTGGAGCGTCAAGACAACCTGCAAGGCTCACTACGATTCGTCATTCTGGACTCTTGACACCCGAAATGTACCTAAAAGGAACACACTCCTTTTAAGACTGTAAGCCCGGGCCTCACGTTCATTTGCTTTGAGGCGGCTGAAGGCTTTGCACGTTGCATGAGGAGGCAGCGTAAGAACTGCCCGAACAGCATGGGGAACGTCATCTGGAATCGGCACTTTGTACTTAAAGCCGCGGATGCAGGTGTGCGGCCTCGTGGTGATTGCCAAAGCAAGGGGTCGCGAAAGTCTGGCAATGCCTGAGTGCATGCTAAGGATTGCCAAGGCGCTCATGGGATGCTTTGTCCCACTTGGATCCGATAATGTCGAAAGCACCCACGTCTGCTCGGAAAACGCTTTCCAGGAAGGAAGGCCGCAGCAGGATTGCTTGCACCTCCGGCAAGCTCATCGGGAGATTTGCAGAAAAGAGTGGCTTCGAGTACAGATAGTCTTGAAGCTCCACATCAGGAACCTGCGGCCAGGCAGGACCCAAGAAATCTCAGACGTTTTATCAAAGCTGCCATCAGCACGCCCCAAATCTACCAGAGCGGTTGTGGAAGACTCAGAAAGACCGCAGACAGACAAGTGATGACAAGCGAACACTGATGAACATGTGAATCCTGTGAACGGACCTGCAGTACGGAGGCACCCTTTATACGTGATCCGCGCAATGAGGCACACAATCACTCTATGCAATACCACTGCGGAAGGAAACATCGTCGACCATTTCACAACATAAGTCCTGTGCACAACGTTATGCTCCACACTGCAAGTGCTGTTCACAGGTTCTTACGATCAAAAACGCCAGCACCACGCAAATTCTATCCCGTACCTGTATGCTGTGTTGCGAACTGGACGGCGATGCTGCTATCTAAAGTCCATACAGCCATCGCAATGCCATGTTCCCTGCGTCGTGTGCATGGCGCTATTCCTCTGTAGTGAAAGATATGCGCACATATCGCAAAGACTGAAACCGGAATGCACGTGACCAAGCCGGAATTTCATCAGGGCGACAGCTGGAATCGTGCATTCGCTTTACGCGTTTTGTAAGCTGCTACAAACTGATCGATGCCCATGTTGTACTTTCAAACCGGGGGTGGCGAGGTGGGTTTCGGGAGAGGGGGAGGGTGTACCGGGGGCCTGTCGAATCTTCTTTCTGATCGAGCATAAGGTCGTCTCACGGCTCACGGTCCCCGCGACTCGCCCCTACTACAGCCGGAACCCCGATACAACAAACGCTTAGCTAACGGCGTGTTAGCCAAAACTCCTACTAAAGGTGCAGTGGCCCCTTTTGGTCGTATAGCCCGGCCGGGCAGACCGCCAGAAAACTCGGTGCCGGTGCGAAGGTGCGTACTTCTTCGCCCGTCCCGAGCACCGCCCGAGGGGACGAGTGCCCGCCGATAGTCAGACGAGGACTCCGATTAAAAGACTCAGGGAGGCGAGGGTTGGAGTCGAAAATATGCGGTCGAGCCGGGATGCTTCGGCCGACCGCATGCGTTTGTTCCTACGTGCATGAATGCACTACACCACAACCACAGGCCCTATCCCGCAACCTGAAGCTGAAGCTTTAAGGAATCATAATCATTTTTGAAAGAACAGCTAACAAAACAATGCCAACTGTTGATTGACCAATCATTAACCACCAGCTGCTAACTAGTATCCACCACTACTACACCTCCTCCTCCTCCTGCCCCTGATCCTTCTCCTGTTTGGTGTTATGTTTAAGGTTAAGGGTTGCATCACAATCATCATCAGCACTGTAAGTAGCATGAGTCAGCACCCTCGTCATCCACATCAAATGACCTTTGGAAACCTGAATGAATGCCCTGACTCACGTGGTAAAACTACCCCAAAAGACATCGTAAACAACTTGCAAAACAGACCCTGTAAAAGTTAAAGTTCAGCCGAGTGCACCAGTCCGTTACGTCCGGAAGGGTGTCTGAAGCAAAACGCAGACCCTGTAGAACCTTTGACAAGGCCCTAAGACACCCCTCAACAACGGAATCACGTGCACAGATCCCTAACCCAAACAAACAAAAAACAAACAACAACGGTTCCAGTTGTAGCGGGGACCTTCTTTGTGCAAATAGCTGGTCAGTTGTAGTAGGGCCCAGTTTCTTGGTTGTGGTATTGGGATTCCGCTTGAATACTATTTTCCTGCGGTTACCCACCCCCCGCCTCCCCACTTAGATCCCGATATAGCAGGACCATGGGTCCCCTAAACTCATCCAAGAGCTAGTCTGTCCAAAACAACTCCGCAAGCTGGGAAGGTGCTAGCTTTCGTGATACAGGCTGCACTTCCAGAACACGACTCCAATGTCGACTCCAGGTAACTTCAAAGAACACGGCTTCACTTACGATCGAAGCTGTCAAAGCTGCTCAGCTTGTAATGTTTATGCTCGACACAGTGACTTGTTCGCCGGCCTGCATCGCATCGGCGAGATACTTGCCCTGTAGCCCATGCAGATGCTTGATTGAACTGAGGGATGTCCACGACTCCTGCTGCCATCTGCGACAGTTTCAAACTTTCGCAAAATCATCCGTCAGATGCTGTGTCAGATGCTCCTGAGTCTCCCGGTGAGGGCTAGCATCGCGGCTGCGCACCCTCGATGAGACAGCCATGCCCATGCCACCTGCAGTACCGGACCACACCGCGATGCCTTTACGAAGCTCGAGTAGAATTCATTTGAGATGCCTCTTGAAGCCAGCAAAGCTTCAAGCTCGTGGATCCTGGTATGGCACACAGACACTACATGGTGAGCACTGAGAAATCATGGGCTCCTCGATCTCAGCTTCGCCTCGTTGTTTGCAGCTATCCTGAAAGCATTGGCCCGCACAAAGCACGATTCTAAACTGGTATGCAGGCAGTGGCGCCTCATCTTGCGTTCGACACAAAGCGCTTGCATTTCAGCACAAGAATGACCTGGGTGCTACCAATTCAGAGACAGGCCCTGCAAGATGGCAACGAATCAACTTTTAGATGGTGTAAGCGCTGAACATACGAGCTTCCTGCAGTAGGTGCAGCGACATCCTGGCAACAACCGAAATCAGGGACAGGTGCACCATCCATGCTGATTCGCTCCAGCCTTGGTCCCATAGCCCTGCCAAGAAGGTGTCACATTGATGACACCACTCTGGGCGCCAGAGCGTTTCTACCTGAAAATCGTCAGGCTAACAAGCGGCCGAGCCAGCAGTGGTTCAATCTGAGGGACGATACCTGAAAGCAATGATTTTCGGACTCAGCATCTGCAGTCTCGCCGTCCTTCTCGCACGTTGCAGGAAGCCCCGTAGCCCGAGTCACACATGTTTTGTACGTGATAGATTGGACATCCAGACCGATGCATCGACTGGTTTGGCGGAAGCCTGGGCGGTAACGGCGCTAACGGAGCCAGATATCGAGCCTGGTGGGTCCAGGCTGCCCCACCTCTCATCGCACTGATAGCTGTTTTTACATCCACAGACTCTGACATCGCTCAATCTATTCGTTTGCTGATGCACCCCGTCTTTTCAACATTATTATGCAAGACTCCGGCAGTTTCACTGCTGCCTTCAACCTTTGGGATTCGTTCGGTAATCATGGCACTATCCGCGACACATCCGCACTGGGTCCCGACAGCCCAAACCGGTGGAGTTTGCTACTTCCTCGGCGTAGTGCGGAAGATGCGAAAACGAAGGGGCGATAACCACCCGCCCATATATATTTCTTTTTTTCTCAGCGAAGCAGCTTTTCCTGTTTCTTTTAATCCAGAGAAGCTGGAAGGTCTCAAGTTGGCAGCACAATAGGTGCTCCCAGAAGAGGGCGGAGCAGGCCAAATACCACTGTACAGCCCTCAACCACACCCTTAGGTGGCGCTCCCTTAGGATGTCAATCACCCGTAGGTGGTCGCACCCGTAGGTGACACTCCCGTAGGAGGTCATGAAGGCCTTCACCCTGGCACTTTCAGCCAAGCGTGGTGGAAGGGGACGAGGAGGTGAGCCAAAACTCCTCTTTAGAGAAAAGGCGCTGAGAAAGACACGTGCCACTCCCTTGCAAGCAGAGTCGCTCACTAAGGGTATTCTCAGCGAAGCAGCTTTTCCTGTTTCTTTTAACCCAAAGAAGCTGGAAGGTCTCAAGTTGGCAGCACAATAGGTGCTCCCAGAAGAGGGCCGAGCAGGCCAAATACCACTGTACAGCCCTCAACCACACCCCTAGGTGGCGCTCCCGTAGGATGTCAATCACCCGTAGGTGGTCGCACCCGTAGGTGACACTCCCGTAGGAGGTCATGAAGGCCTTCACCCTGGCACTTTCAGCCAAGCGTGGTGGAAGGGGACGAGGAGGTGAGCCAAAACTCCTCTTTAGAGAAAAGGCGCTGAGAAAGACACGTGCCACTCCCTTGCAAGCAGAGTCGCTCACTAAGGGTATTCTCAGCGAAGCAGCTTT